TAATGCCAGATTATATTTCATTGTATGAATGTGCCACATTTTGTTCATCCATTTATTGCTTGATGGACATTTGGGTTATTTTCATTCTTCAGTTATTATAAAAATGCTGCTATAAAAATTTGTATACAAGTTTTTGAGTGGAGACACGTTTTAAATGATCTTGGGTATGTACCTAGGAGTGGATTTGCTGGGTCATATGGTAGCTCTATGTTTAACCATTTGAGTAACCTATCATACTGCTTTCCAAAGTGGCTATACCATTTTACACACACACGAGTAATATATGAGGGGACCAATTTTTCTATATCCTCACAAACAGTTGTTATTATCTGTCTTTTCTTATAATAGTCATCCTAATGGGTATAAGGTGGTATCTCATTGTGGTTTTAATTTGAATTTTCCTAATGACTAATGATGTTGAGAATATTTTCAGGGGCTTGCTGGCCATTTGTATATCTTCTTTGGAGAAATGTCTACTCATATGCTTTTCCCATTTTTACATTGATTTGTCTTTTAATTGTTGAGTTGTAATTATTCTTTATATACAATTATACATGTTCCTTATCAGATATATGATATTAAATTATTTTATAACATTCTATGAGTTATCTTTTCATTTTCTTGATGCCGTTTTTTGAAGTAAAAAAGGTTTTAATTTTGGTTAAGTCAAATTTATCTGTTTTCTTTTGACACTTAGTTTTCGGTGTCATATCTGAGAAATTGTTGTTTTATCCAAGGTCACAAAAATTTACTCCTAAGCTTTCCTATTAGAGTTTTATAGTTTTTATCTATTAAGTATAAGCCAATCATCCATTTTGATTTAAGCTCTGTATGTGGTATAAGTCAAGTGTTTAACTGTACTCTTTTGAATGTGGATATCTAGTAGTCCAGCATGCCCCAAGTGATGTTCGGCAAAGGGGCAAACGCAGTTCAATGGAGAAATGAGAGCTGTTCTAACAAATGGTATCAGAGCAATTGTTCACTCATATTTTTAAAAAGATCATGCAGAATGGGCAAAAACTGGAAGCATTCCCTTTGAAATCTGGCACTAGACAAGGATGCCCTCTCTCACCACTCTTATTCAATATAGTATTGGAAGTTCTAGCCAGAGCAATCAGGTAAGAAAAAGAAATAAAGGGTATTCAATTAGGAAAGGAGGAAGTCAAATTGTCTCTATTTGCAGATGACATGATTGTAGATTTAGAAGACCACATTGTCTCAGCCCAAAATCTCCTGAAACTGATAAGCAACTTCAGGAAAGTCTCAGGATACAAAATCAATGTGCAGAAATCACAAGCATTCCTATATACCAATAACAGACTAACAGAGAGCCAAATCAAGAGCAAACTGCCATTCACAATTGCTACTAAGAGAATAAAATACCTAGGAATACAACTAACAAAGGATGTAAAGGACCTCTTCAAGGAGAACTACAAACCACTGCTCAAGGAAATAAGAGAGGACACAAACAGATGGAAAAACATTCCATGATGATGGTTAGGAAGAATCAATATCATGAAAATGGCCATACTGCCCATAGAAATTTACAGATTCAACACTAACCCCATCAAGCTACCGATGACCCTCTTCACAGAACTGGAAAAAACCACCTTAAACTTCATATGGAACCAAAAGAGAGCCTGCATAGCCAAGACAATCCTAAGCAAAAAGAACAAAGCGGGAGGCATCACGCTACCTGACTTCAAACTATACTACAAGGCTACAGTAATCAAAACAGCAGGGTACTGGTACCAAAACAGAGATATAGAGCAGTGGAACAGAACAGAGGCGTCAGAGGCAATGCCACACATTTACGACCATCTGATCTTTGACAAATCCGACAAAAACAAGCAACAGGGAAAGGATTCCCTGTTTAATAAATGGTGTTGGGAAAACTGGCTAGCCATGTGCAGAAAACAGAAACTGGACCCCTTTCTGATACCTTACACTAAAATTAACTCCAGATGGATTAAAGACTTAAACGTAAGACCTAACACCATAAAACCCTAGAAGAAAACCTAGGAAAAACCATTCAGGACATAGGCACAGGCAAGGACTTCATGACTAAAACACCAAAAGCATTGGCAACAAAAGCCAAAATAGACAAATGGGATCTAATTAAACTCCAGAATTTCTATACAGCAAAAGAAACAATCATTAGAGTGAACCGGCAACCAACAGAATGGGAAAAAATTTTTGCAATCTTCCCATCTGACAAAGGGCTAATATCCAGAATCTACAAAGAACTAAAACAGATTTACAAGTAAAAAACAGACAAACCCATTCAAAAGTGGGCAAAGGAAATGAACAGACAGTTTTCAAAAGAAGACACATATGAGGCCAACAAATATGTGAAAAAATGCTCATCATCACTGGTCATTAGAAAAATGCAAATCAAAACTACATTGAGATACCATCTCATGCCAGTTAGAATAGTGATCATTAAAAAATCTGGAGACAACAGATGTTTGGAGAGGATGTGGAGAAATAGGAACACTTTTACACTATTGGTGGGAGTGTAAATTAGTTCAATGATTGTGGAAGGCAGTGTGACAATTCCTCAAGAACCTAGAAATAGAAATTCCACTTGACCCAGCAATCCCATTAGTGGGTATATACCCAAAGGATTATAAATCATTCTATTATAAAGATACATGCATATGTATGTTTATTGCGGCACTGTTTACAATAGCAAAGACCTGGAACCAACCCAAATGCTCATCGATGGTAGACTGGACAAGGAAAATGTGGCACACATACACCATGGAATACTATGCAGCCATAAGAAATGATGAGTTCGTGTCCTTTGTAGGGACATGTATGAATCTGGAAACCATCATTCTCAGCCAACTGACACAAGAACAGAAAATCAAACAACACATGTTCTCACTCATAGGCAGGTGTTGAACAATGAGAACACATGGACACAGGGAGGGGAGCATCACACCCTGGGGTCTGTTGGGGAGGGGCTAGGGGAGGGACAGCATGGGGTGGGGAGGGTGGAGAGGGATAACATGGAGAGAAATGTCAGATATAGGTGACGGGGGATGGAGGCAGCAAACCACATTGCCATGTATGTACCTATGCAGCAATCCTGCATGATCTGCACATGTACCCTAGAACCTAAAATACAATTAAAAAAAAAAAAAAAGAATCTCAACATAAATCTCTTCCATTATAGAAGAATCAACTCAAAATGGATCACAGAACTAAAGGCATATCTTACAACTCTAAAAGTTGTGGAGGAAACATAAGAGAACATTGTCATCACCTTGGGTTAGCTGAAGATTTTGTAGACATGACACAAAAAGCACAATCTATTAAAAAAAGATAGTTTTATAAACATGATAATTTTGATGATCTCAAAAGTAAAATTTTGCTCTAGTAAAGACATTATTAAGAGAATGAAAAGACAAGATACGGACTGAAATAAAATATTTCGAGTCACAGATTTAACAAAGAGATGGTATCTAGAATATCTATCTATCCATCTGTGTGTGTGTGTATGTGTGTGTGTGTGTGTGTGTGTGTGTGTGTGTGTGTACAGATAGACATATAGATATAAATGGGCCAAGGATCCAAAGAACACTTCATCACAGAAGATATACAGATGGTAAATAAGCATGTTAAAAGATGCTCAACATCATTAGCCATTTGGGAAGTGCAAATTATAACCATAATGAGATCCCACTACGTACCTGTTAGAAGGAGTAAACTTTAAAAACCTGACAAGCACTAAAAAATATATAGAGCAATTAGCGAAAATGGAAGACAGTATAGCCACTCTGGAAAAACAGTTTGGCAGTTTATTATAAAGTTTAACACACACTTAACACACGATTCAGCAATACCACTCCCAGGTATTTAAGTTAGAAAAATTAAACCTGTGTTTAGACAAAAACCTGTACATGAATGGTCATAGCAGCTTTATTCATAATTGCTATAAACTGGAAATAACCCAAATGTTCTTCAGTGGGTAAACAAATAAACCATTGTACATCCATATAATAGAAAACTACTCAGCAATATGATTGAATGGGCTATTGATACATATGAAAACACAGATGAATCTCAAAGGTGTTATGCTGAGTAAAATAAGCCAGTCTTAAAAAGTTACCTACTATATGATTCCATTTATATGACATTTTGGAAAAGCTAAACTATAGGGACAGAAAACAGAGCAGCAGTTGTCAGAGGTTAGTTGGGAGAGTTACAAAGAGGTAACAATAGGGAATTTTGGAGGGTGATAGAAATGTGTAACCTGATTGTAGTAGTGATTACATCAGTCAATACATCTCTTAAAAATCCTAGAAATGTACACTAGGGTGTGTGTGTGTGTGTTATGATAATATTGGTTGTTACATGGGTATATATACCTGTCAAAACTCATCAAACACTGTAAGTGGTTGAATCTTATTCTTTGTAAATTATGCCTCAATAAAGTTGAAGTTTTTTAAAAAACAAAGCCTCCCACCATAATCGCACTCCTTAAAAATAACTACTATTGACAGTTTAGTGTGTACTTGTCTAGAACATGTAAGCATGTAATATAAAATATTTTTCGGTTGTATAAACTGGATCATTGTACATAATATATATTGTGCTTTATATTGTTTATTCATTTAGAGGGCCTGAACAAATGCATATATATAAAAATATGTTTATTGATCTACATTTTAGTATTTATATTTAATACCATTTTGTAGATGTAACACCATTTATTTAACCAGTTCTACTGTTGAATATTTAGGTTGCTGCCAGTTTTTTTGCTACTATTATCTGTGCGACAGTAAACAGCCCTGTACATACATATTTTTATAAGTATATATATTGGATATATTTCTAAGAGTAGGGTAACTGGGTGACAGGTTATGTATGATTTGAATTTATATAGCTATTGACATATTGCCCTCTATAGAAGCAACTAGAAAGTTTAGAATAAGAAGTGGGTATGTCGTGCAGTTTCCCATCCCAAATCCTTGAACTTTTGTCTTTCATAGGATCATGCTGATATTGAGTGGAAGTTTGCAAGGACGAAGCTCTGGATGAGTTACTTTGATGAAGGTGGAACGTTGCCACCTCCTTTCAACATCATCCCAAGCCCCAAGTCATTTCTATACCTTGGTAACTGGTTCAACAACACCTTCTGCCCCAAAAGAGACCCTGACGGTAGACGGAGAAGGCGAAACTTGAGAAGCTTCACAGTAAGACTTTTTAAAATTATGAATCTTTTTATTTTTGAGACGGAGTCTTGCTCTGTCACCCAGGCTGGAGTGCAATGCCACAGTCTCAGCTCACTGTCAACCTCTGCCACCCAGGTTCAAGCAATTCTCGTGTCTCAGCGTAGCTGGGGTTACAGGCATCTGCCACCATGCCTGGCTAATTTTTGTTTTTGTTTTCAGACGGACTCTGGCTCTGTCACCAGGCTGGAGTGCAGTGGTGCGATCTCGGCTCACTGCAACCTCTGCCTCTGGGTTCAAGTGATTCTCCTGCCTCAGCCTCCCAAGTAGCTGGGACTACAGGTGGGCACCACCATGCCCAGCTAATTTTTGTATTTTTAGTAGAGATGAGGTTTTGCCATGTTTGCCAGGCTGGTCTCAAACATCTGACCTCGCAATCCACCTGCCTCGGCCTCCTAAAGTGCTGGGATTACAGGTGTGAGTCACCACGCCTGGCCATTTTTTTTGTATTTTTAGTAGAGACAGGTTTTCACCATGTTGGCCAGGCTGTTCTTGAACTCCTGACCTCAGGTGATCTGCCTGTCTTGGCCTCCCAAAGTGCTGAGATTACAGGCATGAGCCACCGTGCCCGGCCAAAATTATGAATCTTTTTTTTTTTTACATTGTTATTAAGTCCATGCTTTATTCAAATATCCTCACTTACAGTGAATTTTCTTGGCTGTTTCAAGATCCCATCCAGGATACTTCATGACATTTGGAATCTTTTTAAACAAAACAGTTTCTTCCCTTCTCTCCTTTGTGATACTCACTACTTTCAACATCATAAAGTAATTCCAACATACATTTGCTTTGGGGGTTTGTCAGGCAGGAGTTCCTGTATCATTCTCCAGTCCTAATATTTAGAAATAAATTCAGATGGGTAGGTGGATAGGGTGCTGAGAGACTACTGATGTAACATCTCTGTCTATTTTCAATTACAGGATCGCAATGCCGACAGCCTGATACAAAATCAACATTATCAGGTAAAACTTCCTCACAGGGATGAAGCACAATAGTTGTTGGTTGGTTCTGTGGAGGAGAAACAAACTCCACTCTGGCTGTGTCTGTACACGATCCCATTTGACTGGGATAGGAGGCTTGAAAAGGCTGTAATTTATCAAAGGCTGAAGTACCTCTTTTAAGTGGAATCACCTGCTTTATAATACTGTTCATGGCCCTTATGCACTCCCTCAGCTTGATCAGCAACAAGCTGTCTTTTTTGAAATTACATAAAATATGTGGTTGGTCAGTCAAATATATGAGTACCTACTGTACATCAAACACTATGCTAGATACTAGAAAAATGACTATGAACAAAAAAGATGCAATCTTTCTGCTCGTATGAAATTTATTATCTAGCAGGGATAAAATAACAAGTCATTAAAATTATAGTTAACTATTGAACAATAGAGGTTTGAATTGTGTAGATCGACTTATAGGCAGATTTTTTCAACCAAATGCAATAAAAATATAGTATTCTTGGGATGTGAAATCCACATATACAAAAGGGCAGACTTTTTGTATCTGCAGGTCCTGCAAGATGACTGCAGGACTTAAGTATGCATGGATTTTGGTACATGGGGCGGGGGCCCTGGGACCAATCCCCAGAGTATACCAAGGGATGATCGTACTAAAATTAAGTGATTACAAGGATAAAAACTGCCATGAGGAAAAAGTACATAGGGCAATGGAAATATATAACTGTAGGAAACTAACCTCAATGAAGTAAAAGCTTATCTGAATGTCAGGAACTTAGATCTTGATAAATTACAACGTGACTTTAATCAAAGAAATAGAGAAGCACTTCAGCATTTTGTTAAAAAAAAAAAAAAGTAATAAACCTAATAAACATTAGGGCACTCTTCTCACCAGCTAGAAAACAGCTGAGCATACAAATATCACAACATCTCTTAAGAGTAATCCTTGCAAATCACAAATAAGAGACAACCATCTTTCACCGTCCTGATGAAAAGAAATCCAAAGTAGAAAAATGTTCTACAGCATTTGTAGGAAATCCATCCTTATTTTATAGGTCACTTCTCCTAACTTTGTTCCCCTTAGGCCATAACTAACAAAGAGAAGCAGAAAATATTTTGTATGTAAGCCTTCTCTCCCTACTCCCATCTTCAAATGTTATTTTTACAATAATAAATCTTAAGCAAGATTCAGTGCCTTCATTTTCTGCTTAATAGCCCTCAAAAATAACAAAAAAAAGATTTCTGCACATCTCAGTGACTTCAAGTGCACATAGTAGCCAAAGCAATAAATATTGCATTGGCTACTATTACCATTGGCCTTGAAATCAGACTGAAGTAGAATGAAATCAGACTGAAGTAGTAGATTATTCTACTGACGTGTCAAGTAGAATAATCTTGACACTTACTAGTTGTGTAACATTGGATGTGTCAGCCTCATTGAGCTTTGAATTCCTCATCTGTAACATTGAGAGAGTAATAAAACTTAAATTACAGAGTTGTGAAAATTGAGTGATGAGTATGTATAATATGTATATGCGCATGTGTTGCATGACACGTTGCCATAAGTGGTAGCTATCATCATCACCATCACTAATACAAATTGTAGTGATCATGTGTAGACCATTCCCCTGGAGGCTAACTGCAAAGAGGACATTCCTGTAAATGAGAAGTGTAGATTGACTATGCAAAAAATATCTTCACTATGTAATTAGTGAACATTAAAATCAGCAGACTTAGTGACTCTGAAGAAGACTCTCTTAATTTTATAAAAGGAGAAAAAAAAAACTCTCATTTTACTAAGAATGTTAACGTGTAATCTATCCTAAAGGAAAAGAATGTTAACTGTATGACCATGCAAGGATTATTCCACTCTTATTATTCTATAAATGTGAATACATGTTTACCTTATGCTTGGGTAAAAAAATTTCCTTTAGGGTGAATTTGATTCTGCCACTGAATTCAGAGACATAATAGTTGTTTAGCTAATGGACTTAACTCAGTTTTTACAATAAAAGGCTGGATCCTATGAGGGTTTTCTACTGCAAAGAAGGTCTAAGCACATTTTATTTCCTATGTAAGTTTCTTATTTCCTGAAAGTCTGAGAAAAAACTGAATGCTTCATGGTTTTGTTTTTGTTTTTTTTTATTCCAGGAAGTTATCAGGAATTTAGTCAAAAGATATGTGGCTGCTATGATAAGAAATTCCAAAACAAATGAGGGGCTAACAGAAGAAAATTTTAAGGTAATTTAATCATGAAGTGGTTTCTCATTTTACATATCATAAGCATCATTTAATCTTCACAGTGTGTGAGGTTTCTAGTGATAGAATTTCATCTGCTTACAATACAGCAAAGCCAATTACAATGCTGCTTATTCTCTTAGAATTGTCTCTCATCCAGTAGATGGAGATATTTTAGCAATGTATGTCACACCACAATCAGTGTTATGAATGAAAGAAATCCTCTGTATTCATTCTTTTAATATTCTGGGTGTTTCTCAGTGTGGACACTGAATGCTTTAAATGATATGGTAAGGATGCATGGTGGTGAGGGAATGAGAAGCAAAGGGAAGATGCCTGGAGACTTAAAGATCTTCTTTACTTAAAAAATGTAAGACTAAAAAATCTGTTGTTAAATCTAAGGTCTTAAGAAACTCTACCATTAAACATGAAAATTCTACTACAGCAGTGGCATTAGCCTAAAACAAATGTTTTCAACCAGGGGCAATTTTGTCCCAAGATCACAGTTGGCACTGTCTGGAGATATTTTTGGTTGTCAGGCTGGCATCTGGACAGTAAAGACAAAGTTGCTACTAACCATCCTAAAATGAACAGGACAGCTTCCCACAAGAATTATCCAGCCCAACATCAACAGTGCCGAGGTTGAGAAATCCTATCCTAGAACACATCTATATTTTCTAAGGCACACAGGAAGACCATCATCCTTATTCGTAGACATAACTCATCTACCAAGGGTCTGCTATGTTTCAAGCACATAAGTGCTAAGTGCTCTGGTACAGTGGGGAGCAAGATCTAACCAACTCCTACTTTCAAGGCATGACAATAATACAGGGTAATGAACAATTGTATATTCTGACAGGTTAAACACAGGACACTGTGGAAACACAGAGAGGAGGGACACTCAACTGAGACTTGGGGAGTCAATACAGACTTTCCAAAGGAAGTGATGCTTAAGCTGAGGCTTGAAAGAGAAGCCAGCCAAATAAAAGGGAGTTGGGGAGAAGAGTGTTCTAGACAGAGAGAAGAGCACAGGCAAAGGCCCACAGGGAAGGGAGAATGTGTCCAGTAGAGAGCCTGGGAAAAGAGTAGAAAGATGGAACTGGAGAAAGCAACCAGTACTAGGCCTTGAAAAACCTGGTAGTCCATGGTAAGGCATTTCTACTTTCTCCTAAAGTCAGTGACAGGTTAGTAACAAGTTTTAAGCAGGGGAAGGACATGAACAGATTTCAGCTTGACTTTTAAAGGAACAACCCAGTATGTTAGCAGCCAGTTGGAGATAGAAGACATTTCATAGAGACTTGAACAAGTCTCAAAACAGCAGTCTCATCACCTGACATTCCACTTCACTAGTTTCACTTCTTAGAGTCCTAAAGCTTTTTCTTCTTCAGTAGGAATATTCATATCTTTTATATGCAGACACCTGTAAGAGCCAGTGTCCTAATCTAACACCTTGTTAATACTTCAGCAGGAGTTAGTCATTATGAAAGTGCCTCAACAGACTAATCACTACTACAGTGTTAACTAATCCTGAATCAACTTTACCCACTGTACAATTTTGCCAATTGCCAGCTGTGCCCATGGAATTATTAATATGTTTTTCTTGCATTTGAATAATAGCAGATTTTTCTCGTATTTTGTGATTTGCTACTAGGCAAAAACCTGGAACATTCCAAAGGTATCTAATGTGCCTACTGTGAAATAAAGACCAAGCTTTCTGACATAACGTGTCACTTCTCTTTCCCTAGGAATTAAAGCAAGACATTTCCAGCTTTCGATATGAAGTTCTTGACCTCTTGGGAAATAGAAAACACCCAAGGAGAAGCTTTTCCACTAGCAGCACTGAACTCTCTCAGAGAGACGATACTCATGATGGCAGTGGTGGGGCTCGGGCCAAATCCAAGAGTGTCTCTTTTAATTTAGGCTGCAAGAAAAAGGCTTGCCATGGGCCACCTCTCATCAGAACCATGCCAAGATCCAGTGGTGCCCAGGGAAAGTCAAAAGCTGAGTCATCAAGCAAACGCTCCTTCATGGGTCCTTCTCTCAAGAAACTGGGTCTCCTATTCTCCAAATTTAATAGTCATATGTCTGAACCCAGTTCAGAGCCAATGTACACAATTTCTGGTGGAATTGTTCAGCAGCACTGTATGTGGCAGGACATCAGATATTCTCAGATGGAGAAAGGGAAAGCAGAGGCCTGTGCTCAAAGTGAAATTAACCTCAGTGAGGTAGAATTAGGTGAAGTCCAGGGCGCTGCTCAGAGCAGTGAATGCCCTTTAGCCTGTTCCAGCTCTCTTCACTGTGCATCCAGCATCTGCTCCTCAAATTCTAAACTTTTAGACTCCTCAGAGGATGTATTTGAAACTTGGGGAGAGGCTTGTGACTTGCTCATGCACAAATGGGGTGATGGACAGGAAGAACAAGTTACAACTCGGCTCTAAGTCAAGTCCTTATCATCTGTTCTGGAACTCAACAGAAATTTGTCATTTCCTTGCTCTCAGAGGTGACACAAAATATGATTCCCTTACTGCCCCTGCCCCCCAAAAAGGAGAGTGAAACTCCTATTTGCACCATCTTTTATAGCCACATTCTCCATTTTTGTTCTTGTTTTATTACTTTCATTAGTTTTTGCCTTTTTATACCTGTAAACACTAAGTCCATCTTACAACCAACTGAAAGGGTGTTGCACCTAATCAGCAGAGGTGCAGCTGGGTGCTTCACCCTTTTGCTTTGCTTTTATTACCCGTGCTTCCTTGAAGCCCCAGGTGCCAACTTGCTGTTGCTGCCACACAGATTCCTGACCATCCTCAGGATTTCATGCCATTTTCCCACAGAGCTGAGGGATGTGGTCAGCAGTCCCCACCAGCTATCAGATAAGGCAAACTACCCTGCCTATCTTTGTTGCCATTCAGTGCTACACGCTGCCCATGCTGGTTCAATGAACAGCATCAAAGGGAGGCTGAAGAGATTCCAAAGAATTGTCAGCTTGTAGTTTCTAGGTATAAGTGACTTGTTTCGTTCTTAAACACTACAACTTCTTATTGTGGGGGCTGTTGAGTTTTCTTGTTTCTTAAAGATGTGTTAGTTTCCTAATATGTGCCACTGAAATATTTACCCCATAGTATATGTTATATCTAATAAGTTAGGTGAATTCTTTTCCTGTGTTTGTGTGTTTCAGTTATCTTACATTTTAAAATTTGATAGTTTCAAAATTAGTATTTAGAATTTGTGCTGTTTTTTAAAAACTTCTACTGCACTCTAACCAGTAGTCACTACATCTCATACATTGGCAAGAAAAATAGTTGTCATATTTGTCAGGTCCTATTCTGTTGATAGTTTTAATTATCATTGCTATCAAAGCATTTCTAAGATAAAAGCCTGAATTTGAAATACAAGAAAAATGTCATATTGCTGAAGTGTCAAAATGAGAAAAGAGCATCTTAATTTTAATTAATTGCTTTATAAAATGGCAATTTTAGGTCGAGATAACTTAATTCACATTGCAGTTTTAATATTCATTGGGGCAGTGGAATTGCATGTGTAAATTATGTTAAATATGAAACATAACAACCCTAGTGGATTCATGGAATTATAAACGTGATCCAAATTCTACTGTCTTCAAAGAAAGCTGTATTTATACATCCAAACATATTCTTTTGCACAGCTTAAGAGTACCTCATCAGAATACAATGGTTCAAGTTAAAAAATAAAGTCCATAATGCATATGATCATCATTTTAGACCTGATAACCACTCAGAACCTTGAGCAAGGGCGGTTTTTACCAACATTAGCACAAAGGTTTCCTCAATTTAGATTCTAACATATGACCTGAAAAAACTTTAGGTCTGAATCCTAGAGATTAAATTAATAGTGTATAGCCCAGAAAAGTAAAATAGTTAGGTGTCACCCTGCTCTTTTAAATGTCAACACCAACAGGAATCCATTTAGATTAATGTATGTAATTTCTGGTAAAAGAGGAATGAGGAATTTTCAAACACTGCAAATATGCCTCCAAAGTTGCTTTTGATAGTGTGATTTCTGTTATTTGGATTTCATCTCTTTCAATAGCCTAGAGAAGAGCCAAATGGAGGGGGAAGGGCCAGAAATAGGAGGAGGTTTTGAAGAATAAAGCCTCAGACCCAGGGAAAAGTGATCAAGTGTAAAAGCTGCATCAAGACTCATTTAGCACAAAGGTTGTCCCAAAATAATTCCTTGATCATATCTGAAGTGGTTTTTCACTCAAATCAATTTCTCCCCTGCTTCACTGAGACTGTCATATATGTCCTTGACATTTTGTAATAGGTTACTTTCCGGAAAGGTTTCTGAAGTTACAGATTCAGCTTTCCAAATTGTCAAATTCACTTTGAATAATAATAGAACCTGGGCTACCTTCCTAACTCATATTAACAGCACCAAAAGAAATAGCATATAACCCTATTTCATAAAAACATGTTTTTCTCAGAAATGTATATCACTTCTGAAAACTTATGTACAGTATAATTGTTCTAGCAGTGACCTTATCAACTCATCAGAAAACAAGCTAGCCAGACACGGAACTGTATTCCAAAAGTCTTCTGTTATATTCTAAAGACATCATATGTGTAAATCAATCTCTACTACTGAAAGAACCAGTGTCATATGTCACAGGAGTACATTCCTTTTCAGATCTTCTCAGGGTTATCGTTGTTGTGATGTGGGCTTAAGACTTTACTAGCTATAGTGAAGCCTCCTTTAGGATAGGGGTTAAAGCTAAACAGCTATTGCCCTAACTTCCATGTTGGTGATGCCAACATTTTTATTAACTCTAATTCAGTACAAAGTAGGAAAGGAAAGAGATTTTGTTCACCTCCTTATTCTCTTGATATCACAAAAGGTATTTCAAGTGAAAATGCTTAGGTATATCCTCTGACCCTAGAGGAATTATAAGCCAACTTGACAGTAAACTTAAAAACATAAAAAGAACTAAAAGGGAATTTTATAAAAGATTTACTCTATTCTAACCTCATGTTTTACAAATAGAAAATAAAGAAGCCCATAGAAGGACAATGACTTGCTCAAGGTCACAGAGCTGGTCGGTAAACTGAAATCTTCTAGATTACAGAAGACATTTGTTAGTAAGTATGTATGTTATATATAGGCAATGTGAAAATGAAGTGGTCATTACAGGATACCCTTTTGTTGTGGTATCTGTAATGGCCACTTCATTTTCCCATTGTGAACTCCAAAATGCTGTGAACTCCAAAAACTTCAGACTGACATATTTAAATGTAAATTAAAAATGTACTGCAAAATCAAACACAAATAATACAAAAATCATTTACTATTTATCTAAAATATCCATATCACGGTCCACCTACTTAACAGTTGGCTTATCACTTCCAGACACCTTGGATTCATTTATTTGATCTCAGAAAGTCTCCCTAATAAGGGTAAAAATTAAAAATATGTGAATTATATTACAAAGTGACCATTGTTTAAGTATCTCCTCCACCTCTAGCTTTAAGTCCAGTGAAATACAAAAATAAAGGGAAGTTTCTAAATTTAAAATCATTTTTGGAAGATGCCAAACTTTACAGGGATACAAATGCTCCGAGTTATGCTTCTGTCTACTTAAATGGAGGCATTAAAAAACTCCATTCTTTCTGCCTCCCAGAATCATTTTTTATTCCACTGTGACCTAACTTACACTATTTCAGCTAAGTCGTAAATATCTGCCTGCAATTTGATTAATTTTAAAAAAAAAACGAAGGCCTCCACTTTTCAAATGACTTGATACTTTTTCCAAAAAAGAACTTTATAGTTCTTATGGCAGTACAAACCTCCTCTGAAAACTTCAGTGGGAACTTGAGATAAATATGAGGCCATACCTTAGCCTGAAAATACAAAGAACCATTGGCATTCATGTTGCATCGTGGGTGAAACTCAAGTGGTGTTTTGACTAATAGTTTTAGTGGCCCAGACTTTGGTTTGTGAAATCATCAGGTAAAGAGTACTTGAAGACAGGCAGCAAATCCTTTGTTTAAAATAGCTAAGAAAAATGGAGGCTGGGCATGGTGGCTCACTCCTATAATCGCAGCACTTTGGGAGGTCGAAGTGGGCAGTTCATTTGAGTCCAGGAGTTTGAGATCAGCCTGGCCAACATGGTGAAACCTGTCTCTACTAAAAACACAAAAATTAGCTGGGCATGGTGGTGCACGCCAGTAGTCCCAGCTACTCGGGAGGCTGAGGCATGAGAATCGCTTGAACCTCGGAGGCAGAGGTTGCAATGAGCTGAGATCATGCCACTGCACTCCAGCCAGGGCAAGACTCTGTCTCAAAAATAAATACATAAAAATAAAGGTACCCAAGAAAAATTTAGCATATTTTATTGGTAATCAAGTTTTCAAAAGATTGCTCATATAGATGTAGTCAATGCAAATTGATCCAAGTGTTCAGATCATTTAAATAACCTCTTCATACCTACTTCCCAGCTCTCCCTACCTTCAACCCCTGCAACTTTGCCTCAAAACTGGAAATTTTAGATTATTTGGCTTGCTTTATCTAGATAATTGCTCCAAATAGCCAACTTGTTGGTGTAGAATTCACCAGTGGGAACTGAGTACCCCAAATAAAAGTGAGCTTTACTTTAGCACAGAAAAACATCATTGCCGTTATATTTCCAATAAACCTTCCAGTAATTTTTTTCCAACAGATGTCAGTTTTGGCTTGTTTTGCCTTCTGGGGTATGTCTGTAAAAGTGAGCACATAGCTGTGTATATACATACACACACATAGCAAAACTTAATAGCATTTGATTGTTCTGCCTTTGGCTCTTTATCCTTTTAGGTAATTACTAGATCATTTTGAAGAGAGGGAAGCAGGAATAACTTTTCAATGGAGACATTTCCTGAGGTGTGAGGAACTGCCAAAATGAACTGCCATGATAGCATCTTCTGTAGCACTTTTTTTTTTTTTTAATTAGCACTTTTATATTGAGAGCTATCAAGATCTGAGGTTCCTGGTTTTGTCAAAAAAAAAAAAAAAAAAAAAAAAAAAAAAAAAAAAAGCATTTAGGTCAGAATAAATTAACTGGAAAAATTTTCAATACGCATTTTTGGCAAAATAAAGTCTGCATATTTCAGATTTACTGTATACCTGAGATTTGGTACATACTTGGAAGTGTTAATACTCATTCATATGCTGGTATGTAGCCCAGAATTTTCATCTATGGCATGGTGATCCAGAGGTGTTAGTGGGTGCCTTGTGAGAGCTTTACTTTTAAAAAATGGAATGTTTAAGAAACAGAGTTAACTGCTGGAATGATGAGGCAGCAAGCCAAGGTGCTCTAGCATCTTTAGGCTCAGTATTTGTGTTATCCCCAACTTGAGTGGATTTGTATCTGGTACTTGATTATTGGATCTGAGTTGTGTTCATTCTTTTTCTAAAGATATACCATCAACGTTTGTGGTGCCTAAGAGACATATACATATTAAGAACTATAATATTTAAATATAAAACTAAGTGGAATGCCCTTATGCCAAAAAGCTAGTTTTCTTATATGATGTGAAAAGTTGTGAATACTCTAGAGGCTTCCTGTTACTACACAAATAAAGGCAAACAATTTCTGTAGGAACATAAAACAGCCCACAACGTTTGATCATTGTAAAAAACTGTCATACACCGATGAAAGTAGCATGTATCTGTCCTACTCTCCTCCTCCTCAAAAAACGTTCTTTATAACTCCTAGTGACTTGATAGAATCGAAAAAGACTAACTGAAGAAGTAGATAAGAATGGCTGGCAACGCGAAGGTCATTTTCACCATTTTTCAGCATATTTGCCCTTTGAGTTTAGCAGGTTTGGGCGCATCCTAACATCCCAGAAGTTTACACACATGCACACAAAAGGCACTGTCCTCAGTTGAACTTGAATGAATAGGTGGAAATGTGCCTTTTATTTAAGCCTACGGTAGCCAGCCACTTGAAAGTGCAATTAAGCTGAGTTTGGCCATTTTATATCTTTTCCCAGAAGTTCAATATATTCCCAAAATACTCATTGCCACCAACTGCCTTCCAGCCTAGGAACCCTCTTGACAGTTCTCCAGTCTTACACAATTCTTAAAGCTGACCCTTGTAAGGAAGAAAGGAGGTTTTGGATTTTTTATGGGATTGGGAAACTTAGATGGTGATAGTGTAGTAAAGAGACGGTTGGAAAAGCTTTTGAAGTAAGGACAAGTGAGGATATGCACTTTAAAACATGGGGCTAAACCACCAAATTGTCAATTTTTTGGATGACCAAATTGAGATGAGTCACCTGATTTTAAAATGTAATTTAAAATGGTTAATTAAAACATTAACATCACCATTTCTCCTTTAACAAAATTCAAAAACTGCAACAATATATGAAAACAGAACCACCTCTAAATCATTTTTCAAATTTTAGGTCACATTTGGGTTGAATTTCAGATATTAACAAGTTCTCAACCTTGGGATCACTGTAAATGTTACACTCATAGCGCAGTATCACAAATGGGCTTTCATAAATATGTACATTTTAGGCAATTATTGGAAAGATCACTTTCTTCAAATTTCATCTAAGAAATAAAGTGCGTTTATGAAAACAACATGAAAGAGAAATAAAAGCTAAAATTAAGGAATGTTACTATGGCAAAAAGCCAGATTATATACCTGCTATCATCTTTTGGCCTTATAAATTTGAAATAAACATAAAATAGGATAATGACTGATATTTTCATAAACATACCAGAACTTATGCACTCAAATGAATATGGTCCTTTAAAGTAGACACCGTAAAAAGCCACACCCATATTCTAATGATGATGCCATTACTCAACCCACTTTGTACTTCTGCTTTTGAAATGACTTTCAAAGCCCACAATACAATCTCGGAATATCCTCAATGGTAGAAAATCATGATCCTCTAATATTTAACTTTTAGAAATTTAGAAATGGTCAAAAGTAATTTTAGATCCACATTTGGTAAAACATGGGGTGGTCAAGCTGAGTACCACTTTCTCTAGTTAAAAAAAAAATTTTTTTTTTCAAGTGCTATTACACAATAGGTACCTTGATAGACACAATTATAAAATAATGAGACTGTCTCTTGTGGGATTTGTAAAGTGACCTGGAATTGCTCTTAGCAATCAAGTTTTTTTTTCCCCTAATTGGCTTTACTGAGAAATAATTTATGTACAATTTCCTGCATCCATTTAAAGTGTACAAATTGGTGAGTTTTCAGAGTTATATATATATGTCACTGGAAGCACCAACCAAAATCAAGATACAGGATATCTCCATCACCCTCTCAAGAATCCTTGTTCCCCTTTATATCCTGGAATCTAGTTTCAAATAGGCTTGGAGCAGTGGCAGCCTTACAAGAATAAGCACATAGCCTCCAGAAAAGAACACTTTAAAGGGCAATATATTTAAATACAGAACTTTCACTGATTTGGGAACAACCATAATGATTAACTCTTGAAACATTTGTGTTTAAATAGTAAAATACATTGGGTTCCAATGGCTTATGCTGTAAATAAACTCAGAATTGACACCTCAAACTTATTTGATCCTTAAGAAATTACACTGTATAGCACAGAGGCTCTGATGACTAGGCGATTATCAGGGAGGGGGACAGTAAAGAAAAACTACCAACCTCCACAGAGAATGGAGGGGGAAGATTTTGGACTCATATAAGAAACCATGGTGGCAGAAGCAATGGAAAGAGACTCTAATGCGAAGATGGAAGCCAATTAGCTGAATGTGTTCGGGTCATTTGAAAATCACATATTCAGATTACGTATTTCCTGCATAAGATCTAGTCATAGTATTTAAAGTTTAGCCTCATCATATTGTGGTCACACCTTGTAGGACTTCCTTGTAAAACATATTAAGCAATCAGCTGAAATACCCAAAGCAAAGTAACCTGTAATCCAATAAGGAGTGATAACTGTGCTTAACGTACTTGGGCAGGAAAAGCAGCCAGAATTCTCAAGTGTCTTTACAGGATAATTGGGACCAATGGCATTAAAATGAATATTGTGTGAGCACATGAGAAGTCCTCTAAACCCAAAGGGTTAACACATTAGTCTATGGTTTAATGTAAAAGGAAATTTAATTCAATAAATTAACTTTAAAATTAACTTTTCAAATTACTACTTTAACAAAATAAAACTGTATCTTATTTCAACAGTAAAGACACAGACCTTGCCCAGGACACTTCAGAAAAGGATAACACATCCTTCTCAAGCAAAGACATTTTAGTTTTTGTTTCTTATAACACAGGAATGCACACCAGAGGTACTTTTCAACAGAACAACATTTAAACTCTTCACAGGATTCTATTTATTCCAGATTTCTGAAACATGGGGTTGAAATTAGGGCTGGGAGTTTCTACTCAAAACAATGAATGCAGTCTGCTGCTACAAGTTAACATGTGGCAGTAGGAAAGAGAAAACTAGAAAATACAGGCTGTGTGAAATTCACCTTCTAAGCCTAGTTGGCGGCCCCAACCACACATCACCATAGAGAAAATGTGTCAAATTGAAGTTTGAAATGATAAATTTCGAGCATAATCATGAAAAGGGAAAATTCCAAATGTGTCTGTGTAAATGGCATTGGCTTTGAAGACTATTTTAGAAGCGCAAATCTCCTTGAATAGCTATCACTTTTATTTAAATACTTTCTGTAAGAAGTGCATAGTGTCAATCTTAATGTATTAAAAAGAATCTTGTACAATAAAATAATTTTGTGTATTTTTAGCTTTAGCATCAACAAAATAAAGTATTTACTTTTTTCCCCTAAAATGTATGGCAACTCAGATTTGTTATGTTCCTCCCTTTTTCAGTGTAATCATTTGTAGCCACCAATTATTAACATTTACGAACAGATTCCACAATGCAATATACCTAGCAGAAACACTAAGACGACCTCTACAGTCCAACATATTTTGAAAAGTATATGAGAATAAATAACATTCTAATTTTTATATTTTCCATTAAACAAAGCTGACTAGTATTTAACAATTTAATAATAATTTGTAAGAACTATGAGATGATGAAGTAAAGAGACCAATAGCTTTAAAGCTATATCTTACAATATTGAAAAACCATAGAGGCCTCGATCCTGGAAATTAATAATTCTTCGTTGAGTACTTAAAGTATGATACATATTGCACAGAACAGTTGGAATCTGTGAGCCAGTGAAAAGACATATAAATGGAAGTTAAGCAGGTCATGATAAACCAATGTAATCTGAGAACATTTGAGCAATAATTCCAGAATCAGGTGACATTTCTCCTTCAGATTTTTTTGTAGTATCAAGACTTTTCAGCAACTAGCTTTCCACTAATTCAGATTACAGAAGTTTGATGGTCTTATTTTACTGACTAACTTTTACACCAGCAGGGCACTGGCTAGCATATCAGACAGAACAGCTTAACTGTCTGCTAAATAACTCACCTGCAAGTCCTGGCCTAATTATTTTAAACATAAATGAGTGTATAACATTTACACACTGGTTAGATAATTAAAATAAGAAGTATATCTGACAAAAATTTGCAACCAGCATATACAAAGATCTCCTATAATGCAATAACACAAATTATTTGAACACACTTCACACAGATACACAAATGAACAAGCACATAAAAATGCTTGATACGAAAAACAATCAGGTAAATGCAAATTAGATACCACTTACTACACATCCACCAGGATGACTAAAATAAAAAACACTGACACCACCATAGGCTGATGGTAATGAGAAACTGGAACTGTCATACATTGTTGATGAGAGTTTAAAATGGTACAACCACTTGAGAAAAATATCCTGCAGTTTCTTATAAAAAAAACTAAACACACACCTCACCTATGACACAATTCTATTCCAAGAGAAATGAAAACATGTGCTCACAAAAAGACTTATAGAAAAATATCCATAGAAGCTTTATTTATAATATGTAAAAAAACTGGAAGCGGCCTAGGTGTCCATCAAAAGGATAAACTATGGCATATTCATATAATGAAATAACATTCAGCAATAAATTTTTGACACACGCAACATAGATAAATCCCAAATATATTATGCTGAAAGAAGCCTTACACAAGAGAGCATATACTTTCATTTATGCACAGTTAGAAAAACAGAAAACTAATCTATGATATGTGAGAAATCAGAACCAAGAATGGTTAGCTAGGGGAATGGGGATAGAAGAATTTGGGAAGAAGCATGAAGAGATTTTCTGGGGATGATGTTATCTTGATCAGGCCTTTGGTTTCACAAGCATGTGATTTATCAAAACTCACTGCATCCAACACTTAAGATTTGTGCATTTGACTGCATGTAAACTTTACCTCAAAAGAAAAAAAATCTTTGACAAACTTTGAACTCTAGTTAACAATATGCATGAAATGTTTACAGGTAAACGGTACTTAGGTTTCCAATTTTCTTTGAAATGCATCAAAAATAAGGACTTATAGATGCATATTCAAACAAATAAGTACGTATAGGAAAATGTTAAGAACAGAACCTAGGTGGTAAATACATGGATGTTAACAATTCCTTCAAATTCTGTGTTTAAAAGATTTTTATAATAAAATGTTGGAAAAAATAAACAGTGAGTAAAGGAAAGGAAGTAAACTAACAGAATCCCACACCATGTTTCAAAACAGCCAGGAAGGGAAAAACTTCTTGTGTAGTTGAAGCTATTTTAGCAGAGCTAAAAGGAATCAAAATCAAAACAAAGTTCAACTGCTAAAGCAAGCAAACCAACAGAATATAAAATAGCTTTTTATTAAGGTAAAATGTTCACTTTGATGTAGCTAATATACCAGAGCAAGGAAATAAAACATGAGTTTAGTACTAGGGTAGAATTTTTTCTACAATTCTGCAAACAATTTGAAAAAACTGTATTATATAGTTTGGAAAGAGCCAAAAGTTCTGCAAGAAAGATTTGCTAATTATGTTACAGGACTGACCATCTATATAACACTAATAAATCAATACTACAAACCAATAATATTTGGCTAGAATAGATCTTAACATTTTTGTTCACTGACTGGTCTGAATTTATAAAAACTGATTCAGTTTAACCTCAATATTGTTTGTAATGACCCCACTCCCTTCACGAAAGGTCTACTCAGTGGGAAGAAATACCTACCAGGAAAAAACTAAACAAACAGCAGTTCAATAGTCAGATTTTCTTGTTTCCCAGATCCCCCCACCCCCAGCAGCCAAAGAAAAAAAGTAAACTCAAAAGTGGTGGTGATTATTGGGAAAACAATTACTGAAACAGTAAAACCTGAATTGATTCACTTACCTCAATTAGTTTCAACTACAAATAAATGTCATGTGTTTAATAAAATTAGTTTTATGTGTAGCAAGTGAATATTAAGAATTACAGAATTTCAATAACCCATTTTTTATCCTATAACTTTCCCCAAAACTCCAGATGTTTTAAGGTATCTATGGACCTATGTGACAGCCTCTCTACAACCTTATATGTTTAATACTTTTCAGGATTGAAGACAACATTTTAAAAAACCCAAACTCATACTAATTTCATAAGCAAACATCTCCTCTCCAGATGGCAGGTTACTAAGGCAGTTTTTTTATTAAAAATTTCAAACAAAATAGCATAATAAACCCAAGTTTCAATGATAATTATTCAACACACAGCTAATGTTTTTTCATATATAATACTCATCCTGAAATTATTTTGAAGCACCTCCCATATTTATCACTCTAAAACAGTTTTAGTCACAGAGGTCATTACCTAAGCTACATCTCCCTCACACAGGCACCTTCCACGTCCCTGAAAAGTATTTTAGGGAAAAATGCCATTGGTCGTTGAGGTAGCAGAGAAGACAAGTGTTCTAAATTAAGTTGCTCCTACTGAAACTAAACATTCCAGTTAGGATGGAGGGAAACGAGAGGTTGTCTCTTGCCATACGTATAGGATGAGTGTCCCTTACCCAAAATGTTTGGTTCCAGTAGTGTTTGGAATTTCAAATTTTTTGGGGTTTTAGAATATTTGCATTATATTTACTGGTTGAGCATCCCTAATTCAAAATTCCAAATTGCCACAAAGAGCATTTTCTTTAAGCAGCAAGTCAGTGCTCAAGAAGGTTTAGATTTTGGAGGATTTCAGATTTTCAGATTAGGAATGCTCAGTCTGTATTAGTTCTCTTGAATTCTTATATAAATTACATAAATTCTTAATTATAAATGTAAATATGAAATACTTTAAAGAGGTTTCATATGAAATGAACTAAATTTGTCCCAGATTTACAAAAGTCTAGATTAAGTTTATGCCCTGCCCTCCCCACGAGACTATATCATTATCTATGGAGATCTAAGTTCTGAATGTCTGTTGTTCACATAAAAAAAAAACAAAAACATGATTTGTTTTTTAAATCCAAAGCTAATTGAAAGGTTAGCCTTGATTATAAGCTTTAAGGAAATGAAAGCTGTTTTAAATTCATCAGTCTTAAATTTCAACAGTAAAACCAACTCAATGTTTTCATCTGCTCTTAATCAAGGCAGAAAACCACAATCAGTTTTGAGAATAAATATATAAAGCATAAAAATGAATTTAATTATTTTTCCTGGCTATGAGAAATTATCCAGCTTTTTACCTTTAGCATAACCAGATTTATGTCAGGAAGGGGCTGGAAGGGTCCCAAACAAACTACAGTGTTTTTATATTTCTTTCCTCTAACAATTCTAAATGGATGAAATTTGGTTAAAAGCAGAGAACACACAGGATACCTTTTGTAACAAGAGCAACTTAAGAGGTAATCTGTAAAAAGGAGAAATCTACCATTATGTTTATCCTATATGGTGATTAAACATGTTAAGTATTAGGGTTTTGTTTCTCATCACAAGAAAAACCACTTCCTTTTTACCTGGCAGCTGCCTCCAAGAACGATTGCAGACTGCTGCAGCAGCACAGGCTACCCTCACCTCTCCCCCAACAATAGGAGAGCCAGGACTCGCTCCTTGATTATTTCTTAGAGAAGACTGATTGTAATACATAAACAAAGAGAACTTTCATGATTTAAGCAGACCATAAATACAGACATCAATTGATAATTGGTTGAATCTAGTACACACATTGCTTTCAGGTTACATTAATACCAATCATGATTAAATTTCATTAACTGGTAATAGAGCACAAGGCAAGGCAGTATCATATAAGTTTGAAATAAAAACCAATCAACTAGAAATCTAAGGCAGATGTGCTTGTCCCAAAATTCACCAAATTCCAAACCCATATTCTCAAGACTACAACCTTCTAAAACACCCCTTAGAAGCTAGTGAACACTGATAGCTGAAGATAGAGGACAATCACTTGCTGTGAAATCTGTGTACCTCAGAAATGACAGCACATTAAAAAATTGTTGGGAAGGGGCTGTTCCATAAGCTTGACTAAAATAAGCTTTTATGCAAAACACAATTTGTAGGCTGTGCAAATTGAGAACCCAGGAGGTTAGCAGAGAAGTTAAAACACTAATACACACAGTTTGTTGTAAAACATTAGTGCACTGCCATTCATCTCAAGTTGTCAGACGCTAACTTGTAGTGCAAGGCCTTCTTAAAATCAAGGATAAAAAACCAAATCCAATCAATATTGTCTATTACGAAGCAGAACCGTTTGGCATACTGGCTTATTTAGAACTAATATTAATCATCTTGAGAACAGTACATTGAAGATATATCTTCTTTGCAATGGATTCCACTCCAGTACCTTTAACTGTTTAAGCACTTCAAGCCCTGATGTCTCAAATTGTTCTTTTTGACCAGGGTGTAGCCATAGGGGGAAAGGAGAGACTGATTCACAACGATAAATAACCTTTTAAGAAAGTGATATAAATAGGTTTTGTGGCAACCAATTTTATTTGAAAAATAAAAAGAGGCTTTATGGAATTTAATAGTTTAGACCTATGAATCTAAGTTCATATCACTTTACAGGTGAGGAAACTAAGAATGAGAAAAGTAAGTGACCTACCTACCCCAGCCCAGCCAGTAAGTCAGAGAGCCTGAGTCCTAATTTTTATGCTTCTTCAGCCAAACGGTACTGGAAAATGAAAGCTTGGATTATTCTTTGTTCAAAATTTACTATGCTATATACATATTTTTAAATACTAGAGATATATTTTATTTTGAAATAATTACTATCATGGCTGCCAAATGAATTTTCCAATTGTATCTTTATTATTATACTTTAAGTTCTGAGATACACATGCAGAACATGCAGATTACATAGGTATATAAGCGCCATGGTGGTTTGCTGCACCCATCAACCCGTTATCTACATTAGGTATTTCTTCTAATGCTATCCTTCCCTATGCCCCCCACCACTCGACAGGCCCTGTTGTATGATGTTCCCCTCCCTGTCTCCATGTGTTCTCATTGTTCAACTCCCGCTTATGAGGGAGAACATGCAGCGTTTGGTTTTCTATTCTTCTGTTAGTTTGCTGAGAATGATGGTTCCCAGATTCATCCATATTGCTGCAAAGGACATGAACTCATTCTTTTAAATAGCTGTTAGGTGACATAGAGCAAAGTATTCAGGATGATTTGCCCCTCAGAGGAGAACTGATCAATACAGACCATCTTGTGGTCTTCAGATAGATTAAAGGGAGAAGGCAAAAATGGATGATGAAATGTGTCTCACAACAAGCCAAAGACAAGCCAGGCCTTCAGAGCCTTCAGAGATACAAGGTTAAGTCTAAAAACAAAAATGGTAAGATGTGACTCAAAAAACAATACTCTCGAATGAAGGCCTCCGAAGCAAGTGTTTCTCTCAACTTCTCCTGCCCTCCTGTCCTGTCTCTTAGTCTCCTTCTTCCCTAAAGCTAGCCATAGAAACTAGAATCCCTCTTCCCCAAGGTGGGTCATAGAAACCAGAACCCCTTTTTCCTCAATACCAGCCATAAAACCTAAAAATATTGCTCTAGCTTTTCTAAAACCTAAAAATATTACTCTACCTTTCTATGGAAAAACGGGCCATAAAAAATTATCTGAACTACCTGGTTTGACTGTCAGAAGACGCCCCCACCCCATTCCAGAGAGGATCCTGTCTGTCCCACACCCAGAAGGAAGGAATGTGTGCTCAGAGAGGCCAAGAATACCAACAAGCCTTGTTGGGTTTCCCCTACTGAAGTCCATTAGCAGATCATATCCTTTTTATCCAATCATATTTCTATATGGATGTCCATACTTTGTTGAACCTAAGCATAACAATGGACAATTTCCCCCGTACTTTGGGTTTTCATTCTGAAGGTTCCTGTGTACACATTAATAAAATTTGTATGCCCTTTCTCTTATTTATCTGCCTTTTGTGAGCTGAGTTTTCAGTGAACCTTTAGAGGGTGAAGAAGGTTTTTCTTGGCCCCTGTAACAACTATTGGAAGTATAGGATAATGAGAAAGTCTAAAGTTCCATAAGACGGGTTATAGATGCTTTAAAACATACACACACACACACACACACACACACACACACGTAAAAGGAACATTCTCCAGAGAAAAGACATAGATATGGTAGTATGCACTGCAATGACTCGAGATTAAATAACATCTCAAGGGACCCTGCAATTACTCCCCACCAGCTCATGCTAAAAATTCTTTTGGAACCAAAATGCCAGAGAAAAAACATGTTGAAACAATCAAATGTCTGGTACTCTTTGCTGCCATGAAAACGCAAAAAGAAAAAAATCCCACTCGTTTTGGCAATTTTAAATGCTAGTTTTTATTTACTACTAACTGCAAAAGACACCAATACTGTACAGTAGAACACTTACATAAATCCAGTATTAAACAATAGCGTATGGGATAAATCTAAAGCAGAGCACCATATGTCTACAAAACTGATACCACAGAATGCAACTTGGTTCAGACAATTCTCAAGAAACCTGAAGAGCTCTTTAAGTGAGTTATCCCAAAGCAAAGGCTCTTGGTTTTACTTTCTAGAAAAAAGTAGAAGTTATTCCAATTCTACATGGTTTAATATGATGTGATTTTTGAACCAAGGAAATACTTTATATGATTTATTCATTTTATCAACTGGTACCATCACCTAATATAAAGTTGACAAATGGCTGACAGGAAAACAGCTGAATACAATGAAGTATGCTCAATATGGGGCTAGTTGTACATCTATCTCAATTTCCCTAGTTACAGCCCAAAATAATACCCTTTTATTTTAAAGTACTATTTTAAATCAAAAGATAAAATAATTTTAAAGACAAATATAATAGTAAACACTCTAACCACCTAAATCACTTAACCGCTAACATAAAATACTTTTTAAAAACCAAAACAGCAAAAAAAAAAAAAAAAAAAAAAAAAAAAAATATGGCAGTGCAAGAATACGTCATACTGCTGAATCTTACATACCCTGAGGTATGTAATGAGAAGTTGGGGGAGATGGAGCAATATAGCCAATTTGCCCAGGATTTATAGCACCATGAATTTGAGAAGAACCACCATATACTGCACCAACTGGATGCCAGGGGGGAACACAGGAATAATCTGGCACAACCGGAAGGCAGGAGTCAAAACCTGGCAAAGGTGGCTGCCCATAGGGATCTGCCATTACTGCATAATAGACTGCTCCATGAGGGACAGATGTAGGATCAGCATTCGGAAAAGTACCTGAAAGAATGTATACAGTATACTTTATATACAAAAATTCACCAAAACAGAACCCTATGCAACATAAATGGATGTTCTCACAAATGAAAATAAACTTTATTAACTATAAGAAAGATCACAGCAACTGTAGCAGGGGCACTTTAAATACAAATAATGATTAAAACAGGCTAGTGAAATATGAAAATTTCCGAATTAAAACGTGTGAAATATATGTGTCAAATCTATTCAACCTACAGACAACTATCTTTCTGGGATGCTTTAGGTACCAACAAGCTAAACACAAAAATAGTCTCTCGAGTCTGAGTCCTTCTAGTTAATTAAGCTCTTATAAGAGGTGGTCACATTTGAGTCATCCAATAGTTTTACAGTACAGTACACCATCTGAATAACCATTTAGAAAAATTCAGATGTCTAGACAGTCTGGTCTATACTCGAACGTATAGTTCTGAAGAGCACCTTAAAAGTGTCATCTCCCGAATGTTATTAAGATCACATTTTAATTTCATAGCACTTTTGCCACAAGTCAGTTTTAGTACAAATAAATGCTGTTTTGATCTTCCTACAATGACTATACACATTAGACAAAAGAAAATCTTTCATTATTAGGCTTAGATTAACTATGTGAAATTAAGACTGCCGCTGCCTCAGAGTTTACATTTAAAAATACCTCTATAAAAGGTATACTGCACAAAATTCAAAAAAGTTTGACACTGTAATATGCTTTAGAAAGGGAAAAGAAGAGAGAAAAGAAATTAGTATTCCTAATATGCACCAGGTAACAGTATACTTATACATAAGGTCTCAATTAGTTCTTATAACAACCCTAGCAAATCCGGTATTTCCCATTTTACAAAAAATCAGACTTAAGGAGGGGGTCAAGTAACTTAGCCAAGATCATAACCAATAAGTAGTAGTGCTGGAATGTGAAACAAATTTGGTTAGGTTAGAGTTCCCATTGTTCCTTCTACCCCTGGTAATTCTTTCCGAAAAGGGCAATCCAAAGATCCTATTCTAAATCCCCCAAAATTTGTCCCCATCTGTATTATACTGTGAACTTACAGAACTCAACCCTCTAGAAGAATGGCTCTCAAACTTTTTGGTCTCAGGATCCCTTTACAGTCTTAAAAGTTGAGAACTCCTAACAGCTTTCATTTATGTTAGTTATAGGTACAGATATTTACCGAATTAGGAATTAAAATGAGAAAGTTAAAAATACTAAATCATGCAAAAATAAGTCTATTACATCTTTAATTTATAAAAAATAAATTTTCCAAAATGCAAAAAAATATGTCATTGTTTTATACTTCTGCAAATTTCTAATGTATAGCTTAATAAAAGAGTTGGATTCCCATATATACTTCTGTATTTATTATATGTTGCTTGGTTGAAAAATATGAAAAAAATATAGCCTCATACAAATACGTAGTTGGAAAAGTGAAGTATTTTATGTAATTTTATTTAATTTTTTGAGATGGAGTTCTGCTCTTGTTGCCCAAGCTGGAGTGCAATGGCACGATCTCAGCTCACTGCAACCTCCACCTCCTGGGTTCAAGTGATTCTCCTGCCTCAGCCTCCCTAGTAGCTGGGATTACAGGTGCCCACCATCACGCCCAGCTAATTTTTTTGTATTTTTAGTAGAGCCGTGGTTTCACTATGTTGGCCAGGCTGGTCTCAAACTCCCAAACTGCTGGGATTACAGGCGTGAGCCACTGCATCCAGCTCAGTGAAATATTTTAATACCTAGCCTTTTCAGATAATTGAAGATATTCTTTGATGCTACACCCAAACTACATAAGTGATAGTTTCTCAAAGATCACTGGCAATGTGGATTTTTCATGCTTTGTTACATTAAAATCCACTGTTTCATTTTGCACTTGGAAAGATCTATTACAAAATCACACTTTGGTTATATCATGCATTCGTAATTGGGAAACTATTACTTTGCTGACTTATGCAGCTCTTCCAAATGTTGACATATCTCCTCATACAATTTAAGAAACTATATTCAGCTCTACCTTATTATAGGAGTTTTAATTGGTGGGAAGGTGTCAAGCTTATGGTGGAAGATACACATTTTCCAAAATTCTGATTTTGATTTGAAAGCTAAAATTTTGTTTGAAAACAAATATTACTAGTTGTTTATCCTAAAGTGACAGGCTCACTTTGTTCATTTAAGAATATGCCGGCCAGATCAACTAAGTGTGAATAACAATAGTTTGTCTATCCCTCTTTCAAGTCAGCAAGAAAGGCTCATAATTAATAGCACAAGACTTTTTCCTTAAGTTAATCATTATACTTCATTTAGTATGCAGAAGTGTTTTATAAGTAGTTCCATTTTGTCACAAAGAATACTAAACACAACTATTCAGGAATAAAAACGGAGTAAAAATAAGAATGTCTTTGATTAAACAGAAAAAATAAAACTGGCATTTTTGTACCATTGGTGTGTGGCAGTGAGGAAAACCTGATTACTTGCACAGTCTGGGGGCAGTGCCAATGTGCCAATTTGTGCTTAGACTCCAGCAGTTTTACCCACCACTAATTTCTATACTCTCATGCAAGCCAGTGAAAGGGACAAATAAAATTTTCGAATTATTGTGAACACTTCTGGCCTCATGAATCCCTTGAAAGAGTCTTAGGGGCCACAAGAGGTCCACGTATCATGCTTTGAGAATCATTGGTATAGTATATGGACCTGATGAAACATATGAAAGCTATTATTAAATTACACAAAATAAAATCCAACTGTCTTTCTTGCTGGCAACCTCACTACATACTCACCATTTGCTGATGCTTCTACTTGTGTGCCATTTTCTCTCTTCACCTCACTGTACAATTGAGGGACGGTTTGATCTACCAGAGGAGGTGGCTCGGTATAGACTGGATAATTCTCTGCATGAAGCTGCTGCTGCATCTGTGGCACATAGACCATGGAGTGCCAGTAGTTGTGATAATAGCACTTGAGCAAGAAAGGGCAAAAAAGAAACAAGAAACTTTACTTTTCTCTATTCTTAATGTAATACTGTTCCCCACAAACAAAAAAAAATAAGAATTGGGCCATGATTTTCAGAGGCAGCAATGACTTTTTTGACCTAAAACCTTGACACTCAGTCTGTTCTCTATTATAACTTTACGATATTTTGCAGCATTTGTATGTCAAAGAATTCTTTCAGGAAAGCATCTAAAAGACCTGTGTAAAAAGATGTCTTTTTCTAATACATATATATTTTATTGCACTTTAGGTGTCTCTTATAGTATTTTTAAACACAAAAAACAATGCCCACAGTATTTAACAACAGGGAACTGGATAAATTATATATCTGTGATGAAATACCATACAGGCAACAAAAATCGTGCTGTCAAATATTTTTAAAAATGCTTGTATTGTTAAAAAAATTAAAAAATTATCATAGATGTGATTTTAGTTTTCTTTATGCCATAGTATTTTCAAAATGACTACAAAGGACACTATGATTTCTAATACAAAAAATAAAATACTCAGCATCTCCTGGTATTCCATAATGTAAAAGTCAGGAGAATATTTTTAAATGCCTCAGTGGAACAGATTACAAAGTTTCCACATGTGACTATAATAAACTAACATAACAGAAGGGACAAGCAGTTTATCAATTCTTGAAACTGAATTTAGGAAAAATAGTCTCAAGGAAAAAAAAAAACCCACCTCATTACTCTCAACTTATAGATGTATACTATTTGGGAAGACACTTTCTTGACACTGACATGTCTAAAGCTTTACAGAAATCAGTGTCAGGGAATGTGAACTAATCTCAGCATTATCAAGGAGAGCATAGAGTTTATCATCATCTGACAGATCTTAAGATGTATTATTCCTTTCAGTAAATATGCCATCTTGTTATATTTTAAGTCGAGTGTATTTCAGGGGGAAAAAGATCCCAGAAAGAATAAAATACAAGAGCTCTCACCTCAAATCAGAGACACCTTTCACTGATAAAGGCATTTATCAGTACCCACCTGCCTCTAGAACTCAGAGGAATGGTAAAAAAAAAAAAAAAAAAAAAAAAAAAAAAAAAAAAAAAAAAAAAATTGTTCAGCAAGTATCTATGAACACATGAGTGCTTTAAAAATACAGCTCTTTATTTTTAAAAATTTTATCAGACTAAGTTCTGGGATACATGTGCAGAACACGTAGGTTACATAGGTATGTATACAGGTGTCATGGTGGTTTGCTGCACCCATCAACCTGTCATCTACATTAGGTAGTCCTCCTAGTACTATCCCCCTCCCCTTGCCCTGCACCCCCTGACAGGCTTCAGTATGTGATGTTCCCCTCCCTGTGCCCATGTGTTCTCATTGTTCAACACTCACTTATGAGTGAGAACATACGGTGTTTGGTTTCCTGCTCTTGTGTTAGTCTGCTGAGGAAAAGTTTCCAGCTTCATCCATGTCCCTGCAAAGGACATGAACTCATTCTTTACTATGGCTGCATAGTATTCCATGGTGTGTGTCACATTTTCTTTATCCAGTCTGTCATTGATGGGCAATTTGGGTTGGTTCCAGGTCTTTGCTATTATGAATAGTGCCGCAATAAACAAAGGTGTGCATGTGTCTTTATAGAATGATTTATAATCCTTTGGTTATATACACAGTAATAGGATTGCTGGGTCAAATGATATTTCTACTCCTACATCCTTGAGGAATCACCACAGTCTTCCACAAAGGTTGAACTAATTTACAATCCCACCAACAGTGTAAAAGCGTTCCTATTTCTCTACATCCTCTGCAATATCTGTTGTTTCCTAACTTTTTAATGATCACCATTCTAACTGGCCTGAGATGGTATCTCAACGTGGTTTTGATTTGCATTTCTCTAATGACTAGATGATGAGCTTTTCTTCATACGTTTGTTGGCTGCATAAATGTCTTCTTTTAAGAAGTGTCTGTCCATACCCTTTGTCCACTTTTTGATGGGGTTGTTTTTCTTGTAAATTTAAGTTCCTTGTAGATTCTGGATATTAGCCCTTTGTCATAGATTGCAAAAATTTTCTCCCATTCTGTAGGTTGCCTGTTCACTCTGATGATAGTTTCTTTTGCTGTGCAGAAGCTCTTTAGTTTAATTAAATACCATTTGTCAATTTTGGCTTTTGTTGTGATTGCTTTTGGTGTTTTAGTCTTAGCCATGCCTATGTCCTGAATGGTATTGCCTAGGTTTTCTTCTAGGATCTTTTATGGTTTTAGGTCTTATCTTTAAGTCTTTAATCAATCTTGAGTTAATTTGTGTATATAAGGTGTAAGGAATGGGTTCAGTTTCAGTTTTCTATATACGGTTAGTCAGTTTTCCCAACGCCATTCACTAAATAGGGAATCCATTCCCCATTGCTTGTTTTTGTCAGGTTTGTCAAAGATCAGATGGTTGTAGAAGTGTGGTGTTATTTCTGAGGCCTCTGTTCTGTTCCAATGGTCTATATATCTGTTTTGGTACCAGTACCATGCTGTTTCTGTTACTGCAGCCTTGTAGTATAATTTGAAGTCAGGTAGCATGATGCCTCCACCTTTGTTCTTTTTGCTTAGGATTATCTTGGCTATGTGGGCTGTTTTGGTTTCACATGAAATTTAAAGTAGTTTTTTCCAATTCTGTGTAGAAAGTCAATGATAGCTTGATAGTGATAGCACTGAGTCTACAAATTACTTTGGGCAGTATGGCCATTTTCACAATATTGATTCTTCCTAACCATCACCATGGAATGTTTTTCCATCTGTTTGTGTCCTCTCTTATTTCCTTGAGCAGTGGTTTGTAGTTCTCCTTGAAAAGGTCCTTCACATCCCCTGTAGGTTGTATTCCTAGGTATTTTATTCTCTTTGTAGCAATTGTGAATGGGAGTTTGCTCATGACTTGGCTATTATTGGTGTATAGGAATGCTTGTGATGTTTGCACATTGATTTTGTGTCCTAAGACTTTGCTGAAATTGCTTACCAGCTTAAGGAGATTTTGGGCTGAGACAATAGGGTTTTCTGCATATACAATCATGTCATCTGCAAACAGAAACAATTTGACTTCCTCTCTTCCTATTTGAATAATCCTATTTCTTTCTCTTGCCTGATTGCATTGGCCAGAACTTCCAATACTATGTTGACTAGGAGTGGTGAGAGAGGACATCATTGCCTTCTGCCAGTTTTCAAAGGGAATACTTCCAGCTTTTGCTTATTCAGTATAATATTGGCTGTGGGTTTGTCATAAATAGCTCTTATTATATTGAGATACATTCCATCAATACCTAGTTTATTGAGAGTCTTTACCATGAAGGTGTGTTGAAATTTATCAAAGGCCTTTTCTGCATCTATTCAGATAATCACGTGGTTTTTGTCATTGGCTCTGTTTATATGATGGATTATGTTTACTGATTTAAATATGTTGAACCAGCCTTTCATCACAGGGATGAAGCTGACTTGATCATGGTAGATAAGCTTCTTAATGGGCTGCTGGATTCGGTTGCCAGTATTTTATTGAGGATTTGCACATAGATGTTCATCAGGGATATTGGCATGAAATTTTTGCTATTGTTGTTGTGTCTCTGCGAGGTTTTGGTATCAGGGTGATGTTGGCCTCATAAAATGAGTTAGGAAGGAATCCTTCTTTTTCTATTGTTTGGAATAGTTTCAGAATGAATGGTACCAGATCCTCTTTGTACCTCTGGTAGAATTTGGCTATGAATCCGACTGGTCCGGGACTTTTTTTGGTTGGTAGGCTATTAATTACTGCCTCAATTTCAGAACTTGTTTCTGTTCTATTCAGGGATTTGATTTCTTCTTCATTTAGTCTTGGGAGGGGGTATGTGTCCAGGAATGTATCCAGGAATGTATCCATTTATTCTAGATTTTCTAGTTTATTTGCATAGAGGTATTTATAGTATTATCTGATGGTAGTTAGTATTTCTATGGGATCAGTGGTGATATCCCCTTTATCATTTTTTATTGTGTCTGATTCTTCTCTCTTTTCTTCTTTATTCATCTGGCTAATGGTCTATCTATTTTGTTATTCTTTTCTAAAAACCAGCTCCTGGATTCAATGGTTTTTTTGGAAGGGTTTTTTCGTGCCTCTATCTCTTTCAGTTCTGCTCTGATCTTAGTTACTTCATGTCTTCTGCTAGCTTTTGAATTTGTCTGCTCTTGCTTCTCTAGTTCTTCTAATTTTGATGTTAAGGTGTCGATGTCATATATTTCCTGCTTTCTCATGTGGGCATTTAGTGTTATAAATTTCCTTCTAAACACTGCTTTAGTTGTGTTCCAGAGATTCCGGTATGTTGTCTCTTTGTTCTCGTTGGTTTCAAAGAACAAAATACAGCTCTTTAAATGTCTTTGAATTTGTGTAATTTTCACACAAAATGGAAAGATAGTCATAAAAATATTTTAGGATAATTCCTTTATTTTTGAGATAAAACAACACAGTGAAAAGTTAGCATATAATGTTAAATATAATAGCTAGCCTAATATATGCCATTGTGCTGCTTACAGCCCAGTACCCCTCTCTTCAGTTTAACGACTATTTTACAATAAGAGAAAATAAAGCACAAGGAGGCTAAATCAGAAAACTTATATCATATTCAGAGATCTCTTAGATAGAAATAAATTTTTTAATTTTTAGTCCCCTTAGTGCGTTTGGCTTTTGAAGTTCAAGTCTGATTATCAAAATGGCTTATACTTTGAAAATAGAGCTTATCAAAGCAATTTTAACATGCCACTTACCTGCAATCCTAGATTGAAATAGTACTGCAAAACTTTTGTATCTAAAATTAAAAATTAAAAAAAAATTAGTGACTAGACTGATGTAAGCAATTAGAATTATCTTTTTAATAAAAGCTTTTCTGGCCAGGCGCAGTGGCTCATGCCTGTAATCCCAGCACTTTGGGAGGCTGAGGTGGGCAGATCACACGAGGTCAGGAGTTCAAGACCATCCCGACCAACATGATGAAGCCCTGTCTCTACTAAAACTACAAAAATTAGCTCGGGGTGGTGGCAGGTGCCTGTAATCCCAGCTACTCAGGAGGCTGAGGCATGAGAATCGCTTTAACCTAGGAAATGGAGGTTGCACTGAGCCAAGATTGTGCCACTGCACTCCAGCCTGGGTGACAGAGTGATACTCCATCTCAAAATAGGGGAAAAAAAAGCTTTCCTCTTTGGGTATTATTAAGGTAGATATCAATGTAATCTTGCCACATTAATATCACTCTTAATTTTACCTTATAATAAATGACTACTTACCTACCAATATAGGTAAGATTATTTTCTCATCTAAGGTTTAGTTACCAAATACAAATTTCATTTCTAATCTTAATTTTAGGCTGATGTTATAGGAATGTCACTCGGGCAATATTTTAAGAAGAATCCAATAAAGGTATTTTCTCACTTGTTTCAAGATGGAGTTTTTAGTTTAATACACTTCTAGTACATAAGCAATCATTTTGGTCCACAGTTACTAGCACTACTAGACAGTACAGACTAATGTTCTACTGACAGAGGTTAGTGATGCCTGCTGAGACAATTATAACAATATGAAACTATTCACCTTGCTTTTATTTACCATGACTGACATACCAGCACCAGAACTCCAAAGAGAAGGGCAATGAGCAAGGTAATTTCTCTAGACATTATAAAACTAAACTACTTCATAAATGAACAAAAACTGTTCTTAGCATTACAGTTGTATCTCTAAATGTATTTTTATTCCTTTACCTGAGATCCACACATATTTTTATTTATAAAGTAATAAACCTGAGTTCCAATAATAGATGAACTTTCAGAAAACCCCTCTTTCTTCGGTTAGAGACTCCCTAAACAAAACTGCCATTTAAAAAAAAAACAGCTTCTATTTTCACTGTTACATGGGAACACAGTATAAAGCCTAATGCTCAAGCTAAAGAATATTTTAAAAAAATAGGAAATAAATTCATAAGTGGCATTGGATTCTGCTCCTTGATACAAACATAAATAAAAAAATAACTTGTATAAATATGCACATAGTATTAATAGCCAAAAAGTGAATGCAACCCAAATTTTCCTCAACTTACAGATAAAATATGATACAGACATACTTTGGAGATATCATAGGTTTGGTTCCAGAACAAATAAAGACAATATTGCAAGGAAGTGAGTCACACCAATTTTTTTGGTTCCCAGGACATATAAAAGTTATGCTTATTGCCGGGCACAGTGGCTCACTCCTGTAATCCCAGGACTTTGGCAGGCTGAGATGGGCGGATCATGAGGTCAGGAGATTGAGACCATCCTGGCCAACATGGTCAAACCCAACTCTACTAAAAATACAAAAATTAGCCAGGAGCGGTGGCACACACCTGTAATCCCAGCTACTCAGGAGGCCGAGGCAGGAGAATCACTTGAATCTGGGAGTTAGAGGTTTCAGTGAGCCAAGATCATGCCACTGCACCCCAGCATGGTGACAGAGGAAGTCTCCATCTCAAAAAAAAAAAAAAAAAAAAAGTTATGCTTATACACTATAGTCTTTTCAGAGAATAATAACATTAGATCTAAGAAAACAATGCATATACGTTAAATTTAAAATACTTTATTGCTGGCCGGGCGCAATGGCTCACGCCTGTAATCCAAACACTCTGGGAGGCCAAGGCAGGTGAATCACTTGACGTCAGGGGTTTGAGACCAGCCTGGCCAGCATGGGGAAACCCCATCTCTACTAAAAATACAAAAATTATCTAGGCATGGTGGCGAGCGCCTGTAATGCCAGCTACTCAGGAGGCTGAGGCAGGAGAATCACTTGAACCCAGGAGGTGAAGGTTACAGTGAGCCAAGATCGCGCCACTGCACTCCAGCCTGGGTGACAGAGACTCCATCTCCAAAAATAAATAAATAATTAATTAATTAAAAAAACACTTTAGTGCTAAAAAAAATATGCTGACAGAAATGAAGAGAGAAAAGGGAGAATATGTTGTCGGAAAAACAGTGCCAATAGATTTGCTTGACACAGGGTTGTCACAAATCTTCAATTTGTAAAACAAAAAAAATCACAATATCTATAAAATACAATAAAACAAAGTACAACAAAATGGAGTATGCCAACACATCCATACGCTGGAATGTTTTGGCCATAAGAAAGAAGAATGCACTGATACATGTGACAACATGAACCTTGAAAACAGTATGCTTAGAGAAAAAATGTTGTAAAAGACCACATATTGTATGATTCTATTTATATAAAATGTCCAGAATAGGCAAATCCATTGATAAAACAGAGGAGTGATTGCTAAGGCCAGGGAGAATGGGGAGCACCTACTAATGAATATATGATATGTTCTCAGGGTTAATAGAACTTAGATGGGAGAGTGAATGGGCAAAGAATTTGAGTTGAATCACTATGCCAGCAAATGCTTAGGAGAAGAAAATCCGCTACATAGAGTTCACATAGGAGCAGAAAGAGATAAGGTTAGAACAGAGACTAGACTGTGGAAAGTCATAAATGCCATACTTAGTCTGTTGAACTTTAATCTACACAAAACAAAAAATGACTGAAGAGTTCTGAGCTAGGAAGAGACACAAAGTGGAACAGTACCAGAGTAATGAGACCAATGGAGAAGCTACTCTAATTGTTCAGGGACAAGGCGATAAACGCATGATCGAGGAAAGAGACAATGGATATTTTTTTAAAACCCTCTGTGAAACCCAGATTTTTAATAAATCAGCCAAGGTTAACATGCAAAAATCAATTCTATATTTATGTACAGGACAAAATAGGGAAAAAAAAGTTTTAAAATTCTATTTACTACAGCTCCAAAAACCCAAATACACAGGAACACATCGATGATAGACTGGACAGGGAAAATGTGGCACATATACACCATGGAATATTATGCAGCCATCAAAAACGATGAGTTTGTGTCCTTTGTAGGGACATGGATGAACCTGGAAACCATCATTCTCAGCAAACTGACAGAAGAGCAGAAGATCAAACACCACATGTTCTCACTCATAGGCGGGTGTTGAACAATGAGAACACATGGACACAGGGAGGGGAGCACTACACACTGGAGTCAGTTGGGGGGAAATAGGGGAGAGACGGTGGGGGGTGAGTTGGGGAGAGATAGCATGGGGAGAGATGCCAGATGTAGGTGATGGGGAGGAAGGCAGCAAATCACACTGCCACGTGTGTACCTATGCAACAATCTTGCATGTTCTTCACACGTACCCGAAAACCCAAAATTGCAATAAAATAAATGGGAAAAAAAATGTTGAGAAATCAAACGCAGCCTAAATAAACTGACAGATATACTATGATACCATGTTCATGAATTCAAAGAGAACATATTGTTAAGAACTGACATTCTCCTCAAATTGAGCTATAGATTATAAACACAATCCCAAATTTCCAGAAGGTTTCTCTTTTATTTTTGGTAAAATTTGATAGTCTAAGAGAAATGCAAATTACTCACCTTACTTCAAATATCTTACTAAAAAGACAATGTGGTAATGATGTAAGGATTAAAAAATAGATCAATGCAATAGAATAGGGCACACAAACAGACTTGCACTTAAAACGGTCATTTGATTTTTGACTAAAACACCAAACTGATCCAACAAGGAAAGAAAAACCTTTTGTACAAATGGTACTGCTGGAATACTGGAGAACCAAAAAGGCAAAAAAAAAAAAAAAAAAAAAAAAAAAAAACACAAATCACCTCAACCGCCGTCTCATACCATCCACAAAAATTAATTTGAGATGGGTAGTGGACTTCAATATAAAACTAAAAACATTACGCTTTTTAAGGAAAACACAGGAGACAATCATAATGACTTGGGAGTAAGGCAAAGGTGTTTTTTTATTTTTTTGTTTTTTTTTTTTTTTTTATTTGAGTCAGAGTCTCATTCTGTCACCCAGGCTGGAGTGCAGTGGCATGATCTTGGCTCAGTACAACCTCCACCTCCTGGATTCAAGTGATTCTCCTGCCTCAGCCTCCCAAGTAGCTGGGCTTACAGATGCATATCACCACACCCGGCTAAATTTTTTATTTTTAGTAGAGGTGGGATTTCTCCATGTTGGCCAGGGTGGACTCGAACTTCTGACCTTAAGTGATCTGTCTGCCCTGGCCTCCCAAAGTGTTAGGATTACAGGTGTGAGCCACCATGCTCAGCCAGTTTCTTAGATTACAGAAAGCAATACACACCAAAAAATGATCAATTAGATTTCATCAGAATTAAAATCCTCTACTCATCAGAAGGCACCATGAAGAAAATAGATAAGCCACAGAATAGGAGCAGATATTCAGAAAATATACCTGACAAAAGACTAGCATAGAGAATATGTAGAGAACTTCCACAACTCAATAACAAGCACCCAATAAGAGAGTAGTCAAAATACGTGAACACTTTACAAAAAAATATGCAAATGGCCAATAAGCACATGAAAAAAGTACCCAAACAACTGAACATTCACATGCAAAAATATGAATCTACACATAGACTTTACATACTTCACAAAAAAAGTCACTCAAAATGTATCACACAAGTGAAATGCAAAACATAAAACTCCTGGACGGTAACAGGAAAAAATCTACATGACCTTGAGTCTGGCAATTGCTTTTTAGATATAATACCATAGGCATGATACATAAAAGAAATAATTTTTAAGTTGGAGTTCCCTAAAATTAAAAATATCTGCTCTGCGAAAGATACTCAAGAGAATGAAAAGACAAGCCACAGACTTGGAAAAAGTATCTGCAAAAGACATACCTCATATGATAGACTGTTACCCAAAATATACAAAGAACTCTTAGAACTCAGTACGTAAACAACTGAATTAAAAACGGGCCAAACACCTTAACAGATGTTTCATCAAAGATATACAGATGGCAAATAAGCACATGAAAAGATGCTCCATGTTGGACTTCACAAAGAAAATGCAAATTAAAACAATGAGATACCATTATACACCTATTAAAATGGCCAAAATCCAAAACACTGACAACACTAAATATTGGCATGAATGTGGAACTACAGGAACACTCATTCATTGCTGGTGGGAATGCAAAATAGCCATTCTGGAAGACAGTTTGACAGTTTCTTATAAAAGAAAAGATATTCTTATTCAATCGAGTAATTGTAATCCTTGGTGTTTAACCAAAGGAGTTAAAAATATATTTCCACACAAAAACTTGCACATGGATGTTTAGGGCAACTGTAATAGAAAGTGGAAGCAACCAAGGTGTTATTCAGTAGATGAATGGATATATAAACTGTGGTACATTCAGATAATAATTTGGTGAGGAATCTTAAATATATATTGCTAAGAGCCAATCTGAAAAGGCTATATACTGCATGATTGCAACTATATGGCATTCTGGAAAAGTCAAAACTATGGAGACAGTAAAAGATCAGTGATTGCCAGGAGATGGGGGATGAACAATAATAGGCAGAGCACACATTTCTGGGGCAGACACACTCCATTATAGCATCTATGTGATGCTATAATGAAGGATATATGCCATTATACATTTGTCCAAACTCATGAAAGTGCAACAGAAAGAATGAACACTAATATAAACTATGGCCTCTGGGTGATAATGATGTGCCAAGGTAGGTTCATCATTGTAGCAAATAAACCATGCTAGTATGGTGGGGGACACTGATAACATGGGAGGCTACAGACATGGGGGAGGCTGGTGGAAAATGGGAAATCCCTATGCCTTCCTCCCAATTTGGCAACGAACAGAAAACTGCTCTACAAAATAGATTTTTTTTTAAACATGCTCAGTCACCAGAATGGATAAAGTTAAAGACAGTGGCAACAATAAATGTTGGTGAGGAAGAGAAACAACTGGAATTCTCATACACTGCTGGTGGAAGTGTAAAATGGTACAACTTTGGAAAAATGTTTGGCAGTTACTTATAAAAGTAAACACATATCTCTTTACGACCCGGCAATTCCACTGCTAGGTATTTGCCCAAGGGAAATAAAAATGTATGTTTACAAAGACTTTTACAAGAATGTTCATAGCAGCTTTTTTCATAACAGCCCCAAACTCCAAATAGTCCAGCTATCTATCACCAACAGGAGAATGGACAAACTGGAATGAAATGCTACTCAGCAATGAAGACAAGTGGGCTACTGACACATGCAACAACAGACAAATCTCAAAATTATGCCAAGTTTAAGAAGCTTTCCATAAAGATTATATACTACAAGATTACATTTATATAAAATTCTGAAAAGGCAAAACTAATGTATGGTGGAAAAAAGTCAGAACAGTTGTTGTCTCTAGGGGGAACATGGGAAAAACTGGGAAGGAGCATGAGGCAACTTTGTGGGACAATGTTAATACTTTATAGCTTGATAGGGATTTGGGTTACACAAGCGTGTGCATGCATATGTTAAAACTAAGCTAATGTGCACTTAAGTTTTGTATATTTCATTATATGTAAACTGTACATCAAGAAGTAAAAAAATCTACTTAATAATACGTATCCTGAGGTTTTTATGGGGAAGTGTACAAATGTCTACAATTTACAAATGATACAAATGTGTCAAAAAGAAGATGGACTAATAGAGATGGATGGAGGGAAAGATTGGATAGATATGTGATAAAGTAGTTAAACATTCATGATAGAATATAGGTGATAGATAAGACTTCATTTTAAAATTCAACTTTGATGAATGTTTGAATATATTCATAGTAAAATATTAGGAAAAATACAAAATCAGAATTTTGTGGTGACTAAGTACATCTCAGGCATAGGTAGGTAATGGAAGGGAGAGAAGTAAAGGAATCAGGGTTTAGATATTGGGCAAATTAGGTGGAAATGATACCACTTAACAAAATAGAAAACCAAGGAGAAAAGTCAATGTTTTGTGTGACTTGGGGAAAAGATAAATATGAGGAATTTCATTACTGAAATGAAAGCTAAAAACTAAATGAAAATGTCCAGCAAGTATCTGGAGAGAAGTAACTAAAAACTTTTGATGCCAAGGCTAGCTAGATTTAAGAATCAACTACATAGAAATAACAGTGAAGTTTAAGGATAGGAAAAAAACAGAAGGGAGCTAAAGAAAATCTTGGTGATTAGGTGTTGGAAAAAAAAAATAGAGAAGCAGCTAAAAAAAAAAAACAAGAAAATGTTATAGCAAAAAAGTATAAGTAAGCTACAAACAATTCTCGACTATAATTCTCTTGAGAAATATGTCAATGAGGGGTAATAAAGAACTTCCAATGAAAAACTACTCCTTAGATGTTTAAGAAAACACGGCGGAAATTCAAAGCAGATAAGACTCCTAATCCCCACTCCCCCAAATCTTTAAAATTCAGCTGAAATTCTAAATATAAAATATTGCAATAATTCATGTACTTGTGGAAACAATTTAAGAAATAAAGAAAAATTTGATACCAAGTCCTGTTTTGCAAAAAGACAGTTAAGAAAATCAAAGAGCCATTTGAGAATCTTCTTCAGGGTAGGCATGTAGCTACCAAAACGAAACACAACAAAAAAACAGCAGCACACATCAACTCAACCATTCATTTGTTGATTATGTAGAAGATATTCTGTTTTCAGCTTTTAATTGCTCCTTTCCTTAGTCACTTCCTGCATTGTGTTCTCAAGTCAATTTTCATTTGGTTCCCCATTTCCCAACAGGTCAACCAAAGAGAGATATACTCTAAAAATATTTTTTAAATCTCAGACCCCTCACCTAAGTCTCAAAATCTACTTACCTTGAGGCAAATCACTGCCACTTGGATCACAGGAATAAGATGGAGGTGGTGGTGGTGGTAAATTTGAAGCCTCTCCCACATCAAGAGGAGGAGGAGGAGGAGGTGGTGGTGGTGGTGGTGGTGGTGGTAGTGGTAGAGAGGTACCAGCATGAGGAGTAGGAGCAGAATGGCATGGATAGGATGGTGAGGCAATCACTAACAAAGAAACAAAACACAACAGAGCAATACACAACTATAACACCTTATGAACAGTAGGTTCATCTACTTTTTTTGTCTCCAGTATGGTCAAAGAACTCAATTCTTATGGTTTGGCTTAAAAAAAAAAAAAAAAAAAAAAAAAAACGTGGACAGTGAATTGTCTACATTCTCTTACACATAACAATCGAGAACTAGTTTATTACAGGTCGTTTTAAGAAAATTATTGGAAATTAAAAGGGAACAAACTGGAAGACGCAGAGCTTTGACTATCAGACTTTGAACACTTAGCTAACAGGTACATAAATAAAAGGTAATTATAGGAAAATTTTTACTTAGCTTAATTCCCAATGCAAATTTAAGAATGTTTTCAGCAATCTGTCACTCTCAGTTAAATCACAAAATGTAGAAGCTAATAAGAGATGGACTGAAGTGGACAGATTACAGATTTTAGCAATCGTTGAAGGTTTCTACTGGTAGCATCTGAGGAATATAGGGAACTTTAAATCATGACTGTCCCATTTCTAAGGAGGTCCAGGATCTAAAAACAGGCTAGATACAATATCGTATCCTTTTAACTTTCTATACCTGTTACTATAGCTTAGAAACAATCAATACTCATTTAAAAGTTTGTTTTTGACATAAGAAATTCAGATGTAATTATGTTTAAATATTAATCCTCTATGATGATAAAGGAAACAATGTATTTACAACCTAGTTAAAACACATTATCTGCATAGATAACGTAACTGGTAAATTTGTTAATTTTTTTTTTCTTTTTACAAAAGATGATTAATACAAACCCTTCAAGTTTAACTGCATCATTTTATCCAGCTTAAATTCAAGTACAAAATTTCATCATTGTGTTATCTGCATTATCATTTTAATCCTGAGAAACATAGTGTTTCAGTCTTATTCTATAAAGGTTTAAATTCAGAATTTTAGCACACTAAGTTTAGCATAGAAACAATTCACACAAGCTGAATTTGTTACTCTGATGTTTTAGCAAGACATAATCCACATTGTTTCCATTTACTGATCAGTACTAACAATATACTCACCTATATCACTTGTACAATTACAGGCTAACACTAATAGATCTATGTCTTTGGGTGATCTAAAACTTTATAAACAACTTTTTAGGAGTAATATAATTATCTCTTTATTGTGGTATTGGTTACACAACTCTGCATTTGTCAAAGCTTACAGAACTGGGCACCAAAAATGAATTATACTATATCTAAATTAAAGAGTAAATTTTTAAAGCTTGCTCAACTAGCTGTTTTGGAGTTTTATCATATATTTAGAAATCTCTAATTTTACAGTTTTGGGAGAGGAATTTAATTTTCAGAATATCTCCAAATGTTGTAGATACAGATTTTTTTTTTAAATAAAATGGTTGCAACAAAACTCTGCTCTTACTCCTTTTAAACTAGCACTGAAAACAAATCATACCATCTTTTTAAAAAAGCAAATGAAGAAAGGCAATTAGCTAAAGAGAGTAAAATGTTATTATGATCACTAGGTGAAAACCAACTACTAGACATAGAAATGGCTAAATACATTCTCACGGGCCTGAAAGAATCAAGAGTAGAAACAATTTGGAGGTTACTTTGTCTGAATTCACCTTCCTTATAAATGCACAGTATTACAATAAACCCTCTACAAAAGAGCTTTTACAATTTTAAGTTTCTATAGAGATGCATCAGCATCTCATCCTTAGACTTACAAAGAGCTCCACAGGCTTAACATATATAATTCAAGGGATGGCTCAAGAATTATAGAAACGTCTTCTGAAATACTAGTAGAAATCAAGGTAATGCATTCAGAATGCTAATTTCCCCCATCCCTGTAGCTGTAGTCTGCTTCAGGACACTTCAGAAGAGAACATAAATATATAAAAGAAGATACTGTTGCTTCTCCAAAAATCACAGAGCAGGGCCAAGGCCAAGGTGTGGTGAGATGCAGCAGTGCAAAATTTAAAGAGCTACCCAAACTAATACAAAGAAAACTGTTATGAATACAACATCAAAATTTTCAATAAAGACAGGATCCAACCCTGTACTTGCATGACCCCAAGAGTACATGCCTCATTCAACTCACCTTAAACATGGTACACAGATCCTGTCTTTATTTAAAATTGATGCTTTGTTCTCAAATTTTTTATATTAATCTTTACTTTTTTAATGATGAATTAAAGTGTTATTTATCTTGACTACTGTGGGGTGTGTGTGTTTTTTTGTTTTTGTTTTTGTTTTTTTGACATTCTATTAAATTTTGCACTCAGGGAGAGTCGCTGATCCCAGCCCTGGCAAAAGACTTGGGAACATTTACTGAAATCCAGAGCTTGAAGTTGACAGGATTTAATGCCTAAAAGGAGACTCATAATTAAGGGCAATCATCACATAGAGTTACCTGGCAGATTAGCAGCCACTTAAGGATGGGAGGGGCCTGCCAGAGAGAGATATGAACAACAAAGTGGGAAAAATCAGTTGTTTCATCTAGAGGATGGACAAGAATTACAAAGAGCAACTAAAATGCCATCGGATCTAGTAAAGTAGATCTACAGCTGAGGTTAAGTGACTAAACAAAAAGTAAATAAATGAAGGCAGTATACATTTTAAGAAAAATCTGGCATTTAAATGGTAATCTTTCAATGATTCCACAAATAAAACATTACAATTCTTGCTTCATCTATCACTTGAATTTAAGCTCAGACAGCTGCTGGAAGCAGACAGCAAATGTTCTCTCCTACAACTAGCAAAAAGTAGTAAAACTAGGGTCTACATTGACATTTCCAGTGAAAAATTTATATCATCATTAATTAACATTTATTGTTTTTGTTCCAGGTACTGTGCTAAGCACTTTTTTTTTCCTTTGAGATGAAGTCTTACTCTATTGCCCAGGCTGGAGTGCAATGGTGTGGTCTCAGCACACTGCAACCTCCAATTCCTGAGTTCAAGTGATTCTCCTGCCTCAGCCTCCCAAGTAGCTGGGATTACAGGCACCTGCCACCACGCCCAGCTAATTTTTATATTTTTAGTAGAGATAGGGTTTTACTATGTTGGCCAGGCTGGTCTGTAACTCCTGACCTCAGGTGATCCACCCACCTTGGCCTCCCCAAGTGCTGGGATTACAGGTGGGAGCCACCGCACCCAGCCCACTTTATCTTTTGATAAATGAAACAGATACAGCAAACTAATCAAATATATATTGCTTAATGAGTCATTTTAATGTGGATACTACTCATGTCTAGAAATACTTCGTTAGTCACTTTTTCCCTCCTAACAAAACCAACCATTATTTTGACTTTAAATAGTAATCACTTCCTTAGGGTCTTTTCAAAGCTTTGTCGCTCAAATGTGCATCCTTGAACACTAGTTTTTAGTCTTGTTCATTAAAAAATTGGCTATTTCTTGAATCTCCTAATCTATCGGTCCCTCCATCTATTTCCTGACAGTTCTGCTTTAAAGGATCTGGGCACTTTGACCTGACAAGCTTCGCACAGTCTGGATTTTGCAGATTACATACTCATGGTGCAATTCAACATGTATTCTGTATTTCCTGTCAATAGGTAGCTAGATCCAGGAGACTGAATCAGACGCAGGATTGATTTCTTTGGCACATCTATAGTTAATGTTTGACTACCTTTACAATCTTAGTAGCTACTGATGTTTAATGTCCATCCATTTTATAGGAACTGCAAAATTATTCTGTCACTTTTTTATTGATTATTGATTAGTTAGAATACTATTACAAAGAGATACTTCTCATCTATTTGGTTATTCAGTGGTATAGTTCATACAAGGAAGGCAGAATAAATGCTTATTTCATGTTTCTAGTTTTCAAGAAAATGAATTTATTTCCTATCATCCTCTTAAAGCAAGCAATTTAAAAAATATCATTAAGAACTTCGACATACTTGGTATATTCCAATCTAGTGCAATGATCATTGTTGAGGCTCAAATTGTTCCCTCTTTGACCAGTGGGAATCTCTCTTTGTGATGGCTTCTGAGTCCTTTTGACATGATGCCTATACTCTTTGGTATGTTCCTTGCTATCTTATATGACAAGATGTTCCAGGCTCATCTTGAACATTTCCTGCCCAGACCTGGAATCAGCCATTTCTCCATAGAGCCCAGTTTTTTCTTTTTTAAAGAAATAAATGGTATTTTAAGATCAAAAGCCAGGTATTAGGGATACTTATTGTTTATAGACCTTTCAGTGGACAGAGCAAGGAAACATATACATATATTTAAAGATATCTCAAGTTCATACTGATACTTCTAATTCAAATTCAAAACTATAAAAGCTTTTAATTAGCCTCTATAACAACTGCAAGAATTTTTTTTTCCACACTAAGAATCCTGATTTACAAGGACACAGGGTATAAAATTAGAATATCCCATAATTACTCATTTACTTTAGCCCACATTACACAGTCTCAGAATAAAACTGAGTATCTATATAAAAGAACCTGATGTGACTGAGAGCATGAAAAATGCTCTGCCCATCTTTGTCCATATTCACTCAATTCTACCATTAAAAAAAAATAACTATATCTACACCCTCCAAACATAAGGCTATTACGGCTATTACATAGTATAGTCTCAACTTCTCACCCCTCATTTGTCTTACTTCTACAGGTAACTATGTATTTAATCACGTTCTTATGTCTCTAACATCTCTAATTGGTCTGTCTCTAATTGTTCTGGTAGCCTGAAACTCTAAGCTCATTCTCTAGTCTACTGTTGTCCAACACAAGTTTTTGTGATGGTATAAATATTCTATATCTGTGTTGTCCAGTACAGTAGCTACTAGCCACATGTGGCTTTGAGCACTTGGTATGTGGCTAATGCAACTGAGGAAATAAAGGTTTATTTAACTATAATTAATTTCCATAGGTGGCTAGTGATTACTCTGCTTGACAGTACAGCTCTCAGAGATTCATCAGAAGGGCTCATGGGAATAATATTATTGGGTTCTTACATGTTGCCCTTTGTGCTTGAAAATCAGTTTGATTGGATACAAAATTATTAGTTCACATATTCTTTCCCTGGGTATCTTAAATGTTATTCTATTTTCTTCTAGCATAAAGCAATACTGTCAAAGTTTGATGATTATCATTATATTTCTCTTGTATGCCATAAACTTAGATACTAAGGACTTTTTAAGTCTAGTAATTTTATTAGAATATTCTGTTGTTCATTGTTCTGGGTCAATATTCTCAGGTATTCAAGGTGCTGTTTCAAGTATGTACTTTTAAAACTTTCTAAACTTGATATGGTTTGGCTTTGTGTCCCCACCCAAATCTCATCTTGAATTGTAAATTGTGTCGTAATCTCCTGGATCATGGAAGTGGTTTTCGCTATGCTGTTCTTGTGATAGTGAGCAAATTCTCACGAGATCTGATAGTTTTATAAATGTCCGTTTCCCCTGCACTTTCTTTGTCCTGGTGCCTTGTGAAGAACGTGCCTGCTTCCCCTTCACCTTCTGCCATGATTGCAAGTTTCCTGAGGCTTCCTCAGCCATGCAGAACTGTGAGTCAATTAAACCTCTTCCCTTTATAAATTATCTAGTCTCAGGCATTTCTTTATAGCAGTGTGAAAACAAACTAATACAAAACTTCAGCAAAGTTTTCTAAATTATAGCTTTTAGTATTTTTGTTCCCTTACTTTGGTTTTCTTTTTCAGGGACTTCTATCCATGTTTGCTTTTATTTGTCTAACTTCAAATATGTCGCTTTAAAATCTTTATCTCCATTTTTTTTTCAATTTTAGATTTCCCCCTTCTTACATCTTTATCTTTTAAAAAAGTTTATGACTGGGCGTGGTGGCTCATGCCTGTAATCCCAGCACTTTGGGAGGCTGAGGTGGGTAGATCACTTAAGCCTAGGAGTTCAAGACCAGGTTGGGCAACATGACAAGACCCTGTCTCTACAAAAACACAATAATTAGCCGAGTGTGGTGGCATGTGCCTATAGTCCCAGCTACTGGGGGGGCTGAGGCAGGAGGATCGTTTGAACCCTGGAGATCCAGGCTGCAGTGAGCCATGATCATGCCACCCGCACTCCAGTCTTGGTGACACAGCAAAACCCTGTCTCAAAATTGGGCAACATGACAAGACCCTTTAAAGCCTACAGCACTCTTATTTCTCTTAAAGCATTATCTGCTTCACATACAGAGTGAGTATTTCTGATTTGGAAATTTGAAATTCAAACTGCTCCAAATTCCAAAACTGAGTGCCTATATAGTGCTCAAAAGAAATGCTCACTGAAGAATCTTGGATTTTCAGATTAAGGATGCTCAACAAGTATGCAAATATTACAAAATCTAAAAAAAAAAAAAAAAAAAAAAATCCTATGTTCAAAACACTTCTGGTCCCAAGCACTTTGTATAAGGAATACTCAACCTGCATTTGCTCAAGCTCATTATAGTTTAGTCTCCATTACTAAAATGATCTTCTCCCCTTTATAATTATTTCTTGAGTTCTATCACCTCAGGTGAGTTTTTCTAATTCTGATTTATGTTATTCTTAAATGTTTTATATTATTAGTATCTTTAGCTCATTTTCAAATAGTTTGTCATGGTTTTTAGTTTGTTTAGTCCTGCTTAGTGTTTCATTTCTAACATGTTTTCACTGCCTGTAGGGATATTATTCTGCTTTTTATTCCCTAAGATATATTTGCGTAGTATTTGACCTTAATCCTTTTGTTCTTTTTCCAGACCTGCTCTTTTCTCTATCCTGATCAATTCAGAATCCACTCTTAGCAGTTTCTTCCCAGTGAGGAATACTATCCTAAAAGGGAGCTCTGGCAGGTCAATTTTGAAGAGTTAGAGGTTAAACTGTTTCAAGCCCTTTAAGTCCTCTACTATGTGGCTCATGCACTCACCTAGTATTAGAAAGACCAAATCCCTTCCCAGTTTTGGCTGCTGCTTCCAAACTGTCCGCCCCACTTTTCAGTGCATTCTTATTTACTGGAATTCTCAGATACAGAAGACAACATCCTCAATGCTTCTATGTTCTTGCTCCCTCACAGACCCTGATAGCATGCAAGTCTTGTGACTGGTGGTTTGTGCCTACCTGCTTAAATTCTGGGGTTCATGGGGATACCTTGTCACTTAGTTTTGTTGTAGGTGTCATGGATTTTGACTTCACTATTTCCATTTTTATTTGGAGATTCAGATTGAAAAGATAATGCTGTTGTTGACACCACCTTCCTAGAATTCTACTGAAAATTTAAAATGTTATTAACTCATTGAAAGTCCACAACCACTTCATGAATTGGTACTAACAGTACTCCCAAGCCATAGATAAAAAGCTTCAATAGTTTGTACAAAATTATAGAATCAGTAAGTCGTAAAACCAGGATTCTAACCCAGATCTTTTAAATTCTAGAGCCTGTATCTTTTATTATGATATTTACAGGACAATTATTCATTACAAAGGAATGTATTTTACAGAATTCCTACAAAGTTTGCTATAAAGTGAGAAACATTTCTATCTTAATTCTTATATGATAAAACTTAACTAATGGTTTGAAAAACCAGTACAAGTCCCCCAATTCAGCAGGTAGCAAAATGACATGTATAAAATCTTACCAGAGCAAAATTTGCAATAAACTTAAATCTCTGACTCTCAAATCTCATGGAATCCTCAATGGCAGAACATACTTTATTAAGTAGGTTAAATAAATTTAATTCTGGAAATTAAACTAATGATATGTAATTACTAGAATAGCTGGAGGTGCATGATTATGAATAGGAAAAGAGGCTTCCAAAGTAAGCAACCGCTAATAACCTACCTGGCCTGCCTTGTGTAGGTGGAGATACAAATAGAGGCTGTATAGCATTCTGTGAGGAAACTGAAGTGGTAATACTAGCTTGATTAACTGCTGCACAGTTAGATAAGACTGGAGCTGGAACATTATTGGCACAGGAAGCTGCAACTGGTACAAAATTTCCCATCACCTGTAAGTGTGGAAGAAAGTTCAAAACTCTAAGTTTGGTTTCTCAAACAATAGTAGTTTGTTATCTGATCCTAAACTTCAGAAAATAGTCATAAGTTTTGACAACTAAAAACACTGAAAATCCATCTTCATGTAAACCTTATACAGGAATGTTATTTCTTTCAGGAGATCATAGGTTACTTGAGAGCTTGAGAGCTTTAATTTCTTAATTCATTTATTTCTAAAAAAGTAATACATTAATATGATTTGAAAATCAAGTATTAAATCATATGCAATGGAAAGTTGCCCTCCAAGCCCTGTCCTCCATCTGCCTAGTTGCCAGCTCCCCAAACAGTTAACCTCTGGGCTTCCTGAATATGTCAGAGATTTTTAATATATATTCATAATATATATTCATTTTTACATGCATATATATGGCCCCCACACAAGATAAAACCTTTTGTTTTTTTGAGACAGGGTCTCACTCCCATCGCCCAGGCTGGAGCGCAGTGGCATGATTTCAGTTCACTGTAGCCTCAACTTTCCAGGCTCAGATGATTCTCCCACCTCAGCCTCCTGAGTAGCTGGGACTACAGTCATGCACCACCACGCCCAGCAATTTTTTTATATTTTTAGTAGAGACAGAGTTTCGTCATGTTTTCAAGGCTGGTCTTGAACCCCTCGGCTCAAGCAATTGGCCTGCCTTAGACTCCCAGTGTTGGGATTACAGGCATGAGCCACCGCATCTGGCCTACACTTTTTTTAAAGAGAAAGGGTGCCTTGCATTTTTTTTATTACATCATAAGACTGTAATTTTTTTTTCTGCTTAGGCCACAGCTATTTAAGAGAATAAGCTATTTTTTTCACAACACCCCGTACAGGGATCTGCATAGAAAGATATTCAATAAGTGGTAACAGACTCTTCTTGAACACACTGTCCTCACTGGCAGTCTCCATTTTCTTAACACCCAACTGCAGTGCAGCTGCTGCCCACACTGGTCCTCGGAAACTGTACTCAAAGTCACCAGTGGTCTCTATGGCAACAAATCTTCGTAGACTTTTGTTAATCCTTATGTTGCTTGACCTCTTGGCAGCAGCTGACACTGGGCTGCTCCTTGAAACATTCTCTTCCTAGGGCTTCCATAATATTCCCCTCTCATGTTTTTACTCCCTCCTTGGCTATTCCTTCTCTACCCATTTTCGAAAATTTGATAATCCACAGGCTTTTTCTAGATGCCCTTCTCAATCTCTTCCTTTGCTCAGAATGATCTTGTTTACTTCTATGGTTTCAGCTACCTTTTTAATGCTGATTCTCCATTCTATAGGAAAGCTTTAAAATTAAGTTTCAGTTAATGAGACAGAATTGACAGGTAATTTATATTAACTCACTCTTTATGTAAAAGAGGCTCACAGTAGACTATGAGTAATCTAAAGCCAGCACATAAAACAGTGTCTGGAACACAGTAGATGCTCAATAATTTGTTTAATGAATTTACTAATCACTGTATCAGACACCAGAAGGTACAATAATACCTAAAGGAACAAAAGCAGTTGCTTTGAAGTGTGATGAAGGTAAATGAAAAGAGAAATTTTTTTCTCTGTTCAGGCCATTGTAACTGCTTAATAACACTATTAATATTACCTTCTGGGGGTAGTTGTATGAGGCAACTGTGTCCTGAGGAGACATAGAACATGATTTTCTGTCCTGAAGAGACTTTAATAAATATAAAAATACAGTTAAATAAAAAAACAACCAACATGTCAATAAGAAATTTGCTTTGTTTCTACATATTTTAAAACCACATGAAAGTGATCAGTCCTGAAATAATTCAAATTTGGAAGTAGCTCCTAAGACAAAGCTCTAAAAGTTATCATTCTAAAATGTGATTTAGGGGACTGCTTTGTTACCTATCTACAGAAATCCTCAACACATCTAACTCAAGTCCTAAATGTAGATACTAAAACGTAACTGATAATTGAAATTTAAACACTTTTTCAGTGACCTTTGCCTTAAAATCTTCAAGTACTGCAGGACCAACAACAGTTTTGCCAAAAAAAAAAAAAAAAAAAAAAAAGGCATTCTATCTGAATATGTAGCTGGGTACAAGGGTACATTGGTTATTCAGCTACATTTTCTCTAAGTCAGATTTAACAGATATTGTAATATTCAAATATCATTCTCCTCTGATTCAAAACTGTGTCTTTCTAAAAGCAAAAATGATATTTGAATGGCTTGGACTCATGCATGATAGCTTGTCGTGGCAGCAAAAACTCTAGCAGCAGAAATTGGTTGCATTAATAAGAGCACAGAGACAACACGGAAAGGTAATCACAGGAAACAACAAGAGGAACCTTACTGTGAAAAGGTGACCCCACTTAACATGGACAATCACAAAGTTTGTGTTCAAGTAAAGCCAAAGCCCCTGCCAAAACGCAGACATTTTCCCTGGCTCAGAATACCAAATACTTCTAGAGAAACATTTAGTTGAGTGTTAGACATGGAAATAAGAAGTAGAAATAAATGTTCACGATTTCTTAGAAGGCTATGCCTAGAAATCCTTATTCAAAGAGTCCTGCATTGGACAAAAACAAACATAAATAGATAAGACTTAATTAAACAAAAAAGCTTCTGCATAACACAGAGTAAACAGACAACTCACAGAGTGGGAGAAAAATCTTTGCAATCTAGCAATCTATACATTCAACAAAGGACTAATATCCAGAATCTACAAGGAACTGGATTCAGCAAGAGAAAAAAATCCCATCAAAAAGTGAGCTAAGGACATGAATAGATAATTCTAAAAGAAGATACACAAATGGCCAACAAACATGAAAAAAATGCTCAACATCACTAATGATCAAGGATATGCAAATAAAAACCACAATGTGGTATCACCTCACTCCTGCAAGAATGGCCATAATCAAAAATATAAAAAAAATAGATGTTGGCATGGATGTGGTGAAAAGGGAAAGCTTTTATACTGTTGGTAGGAATGTAAACTAGTACAGCTTTCCATGGTGGAAAACAGTGTGGAGATTCCTTAAAGAACTAAAAGTAGAACTAATATTTGATCTAGCAATCCCACTCCTGGGTATGTACCCAGAGGAAAAGAAGTCATTATACAAAAAAAGATACCAGCACATGTATGTTTATAGTACACAATTTGCAACTGCAAGAATATAGAACCAGCCCAAATGCCCATCAATCAACAAGTGGATAAAGAAAATGTGGTGTATTTATACCACGGAATACTACTCAGTCATACAAAGAAACAAAATAATGGCATTTGAAGCAACGTGGATGGAATTGAAGACCATTATTCTAAGTGAAGTAACTCAAGATGAAAAAATAAACACTGTATGTTCTCACTCATAAATGGAAGCTAAGCTATGAGGACACAAAGGCATAAAAATGAGACAATGGACTTTGGAGACTCAGGGGAAAGGGCGGGGGGGCGGTGAGGGATAAAAGACTACGCATTTGGTACAGTAGTACACTGCTCAAATGATGAGTGCACTGAAATCTCAGAAATCACCACTAAAGGACTTACTCATTTTAACCAACCACCACCTATTCTCCAAAAACCTGTTGAAATTAAAAATTTAAAAACAAGAGGTTTTTTAAAAAAATGTACACTGATAATTCTGAAGACATTTCTCCTTTATTTTAGCAATAATAGAAATTTGCTATGGATTTGGTGATGGGGGCAGAGGGAGTGGAATATATGAAGAGATTGAAAGCTATTGGGGTTTTTAAAATTCAGAACAAAAAGGAACATGTGACAAGTGAAACTGAAGGAACAGAAAGAAAGCATCTATTCTTGTCATCCCTCATGGTAAAATTCTCATTTGCCTTTTCACTTGGATGGCTACTTCAAGACGTAATATCAAAAGCACATGACATGAGAATAATAATGGTGTCAGGAAAAGGAGGAGAAAACTTTCTCTGGAAGGAGCAAAGTAAGGGAAGGAGAAAAAACAGAAAGAAAATTACATATCAGAGTTTTCTTCTCCTTCCTAAGGTATATTGCCTAAACAGTAAAAACAAAAATTTAGTATATTAAGATGTCACTATTAATTATGACTAATTCTCTAATTAGTCATAATTAGAGAATATAAGTTAGTTATTCAAGTTCTTTATAAATATTCCGGTTCTCCTGGATACATGGTAGGACTGCCCTTCCCGGCTCCATCTAAAGTCAGGAATGACCAAGTTACTTGGGTCAATAAAATATGAACAGAAATGTTATGAGTCAATGTCCAATCTCTGTATCTTCTGCCCTGCTGTGATGATCATGATAGTATGTGTCCATCAGCCTGGGTCCTTAAGTGACTATGAAGAACAGTCATAGCCTGGAAGCCTGCTACCAACTTAAATTGAACCTGTATAACACTAGCAAGAACAACTCTTCCCAAGTTAAGCCACTGAGATTTTGGGGAGTTGTTACAGTGCAGCATAACCTAGCTGGACTAAAACAGAAATTGGTAACTAGAAGTAGGGTACAGCTACAACAAAATCCTAATTGAGAAGGAATTATGAACGTGTAACTCTTAGGGTAAGCAGTTTAGAAGACAGGATGTTAGTATTGTGCTTTGATTACTGTTGGTACGGTTTAAAGCAAGTTAGTTTAAGACAGGTGTGTGTAGGAGAGAATTAGTAGTTTGCAAGCAGGAATGAGAGGGAATAGATTCCTTGCATACAGGGACTCATAGGGTTGAAGGAACAATTGTTTCAAGCCTAAACTATAAAGGGTAATATTGATGAATGCATTGAATAACGACAACATGAAAACTTAACCTTGCAGCAACTCTTTTGTTAAAAACCCCTGAATGCAATAAGATGTCTCAAAGCCAGAGTTCAACTAAGGGTATAACATCTAGTAAATCCTTGCACTTCAACAAAATGGCTGTAGAAAAGTTTCCAAAAGGCATGGCTCTTCCATCAACGCAAGATAAACTCAAGCCACTTGCAATCAAGTAGAGAAAAATATAAGGATTAAAAACACAAAGAATTATAGCAAGTCTTAGTAGTATATTTATGGAAAAGAACTGTAGTATGGTTATTGGGGTTATTGGTACATGAAACCAAAAGAAGCAGAATAAAATAATCTCACAGCCAAAGAAATCATGAGCCAAAACTAAAACCATTCAATTGAGATAAAACCACCCTTGGGCCTCCAAATCTTCTGTAAGTAGCAAGCTTAGAAAGCTGCTCAGTTGCCAAGGAAGGATTATTCTCCAATGCCTACTTGAAATATTGCCAAGCAAGGATAGGCCTTGGGAGTGGCCAAGAGCCTCAGAAAATGAACAAGATAACTCTTCAGGGAAGAGTCCCCATGAGTACGCTGGGGGAACTTATAACGTTTGCCCATAAAGGTCTCAGAATGGCTACAGGACAGTAACTGTTTTTTATCTCCCATTTTCCCCCTTTCTGAGTGAGAATTTCAGTGCCTGCTTCAGCATTGTAAATTGGGGAGAGAGGTTAAAAAAAAATCTGTATTTTTGGTTTTTGGTCTCAAGATCACAAGAAGCCACATCTGGACCCAATATAACAAGTACTACACACAGCCCAGAAATCTTAGGCTATGAGTTTGATTACACTGAATGGGACCTTTTAGGATGCCTCCTTTGAGGTAGAAACAAGTGTTCTGCCTATGAGAGAGAGAGCAAGTTGAATGATATAGTTATTAGCACTGTTAAAATGTTTCTTTTTGCCTTTCAGGCACAGAGAAGTTAAACTCTTCAGTGGTACCTGCTCTGGCCAGTGAAATGGAAAAGAAAGTGACATGTATCATCTCTGGTGGAAGCTGTAGAAGCCAGTGCACCATTTACCAAATTTTATTTCCTGCCTTAGCAATCATGGACAAACTTCCATCAGCCTGAGTACCTGAGCAAGCCCTTCTATAGACCTCTACTAGCATAAGGGAGAAGCAAACTTTTGTTATATTAAGTGAGATTTATGATCCATTCTAATAAAAAATCATAAAATCTTCTAAAAGATCATTATTGCTGTTAGAATATCTCTAAATAGATTAATTCCAGAAAATAAGTTAATTTCTGTCTCAATTTCTTCATCTTCAAAATGAGAATGATACTAAGCCTCACAGGGTTGTTCTGATTTAAATACATTTATATGTATAGCTCTTAACAGTACCCTAGTAAATAGTAGAAGCTATAACTCTTTGCTATTATTAAATACCTACCAAGTTTGCTGTAGATGCAGTTGTGCTATAAACACCTGAAGTTTCATAGTCTGGCTCTAGAGAATATAGCCAAAGTAAAAAATGAGCATTATTTTATAGCTTGAAATTCTATAAACAATGATGAATGTCAGATGATTTATAGATCTTACTGACCTGCAGGATAAAGACATTCTTCATGATATCCCCCTGGGAAAAAAAGACACAAGAATTGTGTTTATATAGGTCTTTTTAGCTCAGCAGAGCCAAATGGTCAGCACTTGCTTTTTCCTCCAGTTTTATGGTTATATGCTCAAAACTAAAGTGCACACATCCTGGAAAGTGATATGAGCTTTCAGACTAGTCAACAAATACTGAAGACAGAGATTAGCTGTAAACTTTACAAATCTCACCTCTGAAAATTTGCTTAGCTCTTAGAGGTCAGACAGAGGTGAAAATTCAGTTGTGCCCAATTTTTCCAGGGAGGCTACAGTGTGGTGATTAAGCACATAGGCTCTGGAGTGAGGATTGCCTAGATGTGAACTGTGATTAACTACATGATTTTAGGCAAGTATTTAATCTTTATGCCTCAATTCTTCACTGTAAAATGGAATAACAGTGCCTAGTTCATAGGCGTTTTGAGGATGGTTAATAGAAGTGAAAATAACTTAGCATATTGCTTTACATATACTAAATACTCAATGGTCACTACAAAGTATGAGTATAATCCACTGTTTCCTTTGGTGGACATTAAGGGAATATGTTATGCCTCATCTGTTTTTCAATCTGTTTCATGTAAGTAATACATGCAAAATCAGTGTGTCCTCAAAGGATGGCTCAGCAGACTGAAGTATTTTAAGATTTCTGTACCACTGAAATGCAAAGTCAATACTCAATTGGATGGTTTTCCGACAAATATAACCCCACAGTTCTAAAGTAAATCTGATTCTAAAACACACCACTTATCAAACACACCACTTATCAAACACACATGCAACTCCTCCGGATTTAAAGTGGGAGCAAAGATTTGGTTATTTCAAATATACCACACTACCCATAGAGCTAAAAGACAAAAGGGTCATGTAAATAAGAGCAGACAGTAAATGTCCTTAAACACATGCATGGACACATGTACAAAGTTTTCACAAATCATTCTTGTACTAGATTTTTTCACTTATTAAATTCCTAAAAAATATCTATTTTCGTCTACACTAGTAACAAAAAAAAAAAAAAAAAAAAAAACAATACCACAAGAAAATAAGGAACTCATTAATAAGTCATTCGGAATGCCTCAAGCCACTCAATGCTCCACAATTATTACAATAGGCACATACAGTATCTTTTAAAAGTAAAAATAAACACATTCCATGGTAGGAGGCAATATAAAAAAACTGTTAAGGGTATGTGTGTGTGTGTGTGTATGATTCCAATTATATAAAATGTCCAGAGGAGACAAATCAATAGAGAAAGAAAACAGACTGATGATTGCGAAGGGTTGGGGACTGGGAGAAATGGGGAATGGCCCTAATGGGCACCGGGTTTCACTACTGTGGTGATAAAAATGTCCTAATATTAACTGTGGTGATGCTATGCAACTCTGAATAAAAACCATGGAATTGTATACTTTAAATAGCTGAAATTGTATGATATGTAAATTATATCTCAATAAAAGAGTTACAAAAAATTGTATCTCTGCCAAGGATATGACCTTGGCCATGTCATTTGCCCTCTGAATCTCAATTTCCTCATGTGTAAAATAGGGATAGCACATTCCTCAGAAGAACACACGAATGACTATATTATGAATATAATGACTTAGTAGAGTGGGTATCACATAAGGTTCAATAAAGAGTAATGTTTATAGATTAAATAGACTTATTTGGGCAAAGAAGTTACTTCATAGCAGTCTTAAAAAATAATAGCCAGTCACACAAAAAGCCTAATGTAGTTATACAAATGGTGAGGACAACTATAAACAGTGCCTTACTAATAAGGAATAGATTTTCCCATAATGATATCTGACATAAAGTCAAAACTCAATAAAGACCTAGGCAGAGAGCTGAAAACAAGTTACAACAATGTAGCAGCCTATTGAAATAGAAGTCCATTATTCTGAGAAATACCAGGACATATTCAAAACCCAGCAAGCAATAAGAACTTATATAACTCTTTCAAAATTATGCTACTGAAACAGAGAGAGACCCCAAAAACAAATTGGTCTACTTCACTGCCCTGATATGCTAATGACACAAGAATCTTTTAAAAAATATTTAACTGTTACTGACTCACCATTTTCACTCTGGCCATTGCCCTCATCTAAATTCAAAGTCTGTTTGCCAGAGCTATGTCCCCGCCTTCCAACACAGCATCCTGAAGTAGCAGGAACCATTGTAGAGGGACCTCCATGATTCTGCATCAAAGAGACACACATACACTGTAGTTCTCACTATACAGTCAGAAAAAAAAAAAAAAAAAAGCTAGAGGAATGTTTTAAAAGGCACTTTAAAAAACTAGCCTAACAATGTGAACTGATGTTGTAAGAGAACTCCGTAATTAAATGTTTTCCATGCACTTTAGGATACAAAACATATGAAGTAATCATCAAGAAAATAGAAAATATCAACCCATACTATATAGGCAAGATTATTAGTCTACCGCTACTCCCTTCTCTAGGAACAGGTGGGAGAAAATGTCTCTTTTCTCATTGTCATTTTCCAGAAAAGGCTTGGTTTATTTGTACAAAATCTAAAATTTATCCACATTGCCTTTACTTCAAAAAAATAAATGAAACAAGTAAACAGCTTTTTGAGTAAAGCTTTGATCCACTCACAGGTAAAGTTGGATAAGCAGTCTCATCCCCTTCTTCAACTTCATAAAAAGTAATCGTTTCTTCCAAGCCCCTGGGCATTTGTCCATTCCCTGAAGCAAATCCATACTGGGACTCCTTATTCATACAACTCATCTGGCGGTGACTACGTCTAAATGAACTTAAGTGGTTCAAATAATTAAAAAGTAGAAATGATGAAATACAGTAACCTGTTCCTAATTTACAAATAACAGTTCAAATATCTCAAAGTTGACACTTTTTAAAACATTAATGTTCAGCAATGAAATCAGGCTTACCCATTTTCTCTCAACACAATACTTACCGAGATCTGTAAGAGAAGTTATCATAGTTCTGGCAGCACCTTTTACCTGGGCCTGGGTAAAAACCAACTTTAGGGCCCGGCATGTTGTGCCTGTTTATAAACCAAGACGAATTTCTAAGAATAAAGGGAAAGGGAAATAGAACCCTCTATTCACTAACCCTAAGTAGTCAGTCTCTGTACTCAAATAGAACTAACCCATCTTTCTAAATACATTCAACTAGAAAGAGCTCTGCTCTCTGCAATACGGGCATTAAGACTATTATTAAGGAAATACAATCTGTATGTCACACAGACACTCATCTTGACGGCATTCTATCTTCTTATATCTCTTCAACTGCTTCATATTTCCCAGACAATGAAAATACAAATCTATCAATGTTTTTACCTGGGCATCCCATATCCTCGACCTTGTCTTGGAGATGGATGTTGAGTATGAAAATGTTCATTAGACATAACATTGCCAGCTGTTGAGTAGTGCATTGGAGGATCATGCCCATAATGCATACTGTGCTGTAGCCTGGGTGGGAGGAGGGGGTCTCCCTTGCCGTAAGCCATAGTCATGTACACTTCTTTCCCTCGAACTTTCTTGAACATCTTCTTCTGTTGCCTCATGTCCATCTCTGATATAACTTTCAGGCAAACAAAGAAGTAGCAAATAAGCTTCATAACCAAAGCAGAAGGCCCAGTGTACTGTTACCACCACACTGCCTTAAAATTTCCAATGCTTCCCCTAGGAACAAACCAAATAAATGTAGGGAGGGAATTTTTGTATTTTTGAAGGATATGCTAGATCTTTTATTTGGAAGGGCAAAACCAGCAGGTAATTTCTGTATCAAGAGGTATATCTCGGAACTATCCCCAGTATGGGCAGGTTAGTATAGGTCATCAAAACACTGAGTTATCCATGGCTGGGCATGGTGGCTCCTGCCTGTAATCCCAGCACTTTGGGATGCCGAGGCAGGTGATCACTTGAGATCAGGAGCTCGAGAACAGGCTGGCCAACACGGTAAAACCCCATTCTCTACTAAAAATACAAAAACTAGCCGGGCATGGTAGTGTGCACTTGTAATCCCAGCTACTTGGGAGGCTGAGGCAGGAGAACTGCTTAAGCCCAGGAGGCAGAGGTTGCAGTGAGCCAAGACTGCACCACTGATTCCAGCCTGGGTGTCAGAGACTCCTTGAAAACAAAACGGAACAAAACAAAAATACTGAGTCATCCAATCACATACATTACTATTCTCTAATAAATTATGCCTGTTAATATCCCTGGCTGCTTCTATGAGGTGTTTTTCTAGTTCTCTAAGAAATATTTTCCCCTGAAGTTTTAGAGTCTAAGATCCATGTCAGCTTAAGTTTTTTAAATTAATTTTTATAAGTGCAGAACAGTAGGTTATGGGGTACATGCAGTACTTTCATACAAGCATACAATGTGTAATGATCAAATCGGGGTAATTAGGGTATCTATCACCTCAAACATTTACCATTTCTTTGTGTTGGGAACATTCCAAATCCAGTCCTCCAGTTATTTTGAAACACACAATTATTAATTATAATCACCCTATTACACTACCAAATATTAGACCTTAATCCTACTATCTATTTTTGTACCCATTAACTAATTCCTCTTTATCCCCAATCCTCACCACCCTTCTGAGCCTCTGGTAACCATCATTCTACTCATCTCCACAAGATCAATTTTTTTTTTTTTTTCTTTTTAGCTCTCACATATGAGTGTTTAAGTTTACACAAAGTCCCTTAAGAACCACGGTTCTCAACGAGGGACAATCTTACCTCTCCCTCCCCTAGAGACTATTTGGCAATGTCTGGAAACATTTTTGTTTGTCATACTAGGCAGAGGGTGCTACTGGCATCTAGTGGATAAGAAGCCAGGGACGCTGTGAAGCATCCTACAAGGCACAGGACAGCCCCTCAACAATGAAATAGTATCCATTCCATTATGAGTAGTGCTGAAATTAAGAAAATCTACCCTACAACAAGACATATTACATACATTTAAAAAATAGTACAATGTAGGTAAGTTAAAGGGAGTGCATGAAGGGGAAAAAAAAACCTTTAGCATACAAACCCATTTCTGGGATATATCCCCCAGGTATTTTCTGGTAACCTCTTCCTTTACGACTGGGCATAGCATTCCAGGCAGGAAAAGGCATCACTTGGGTAACTGGTTTTAAGTTAGCCAGTGGAACAACGTGCCTTAAAAGTTAAAGGTATCACCATGAAGATATTGCAACACAGACTTAACTCTCATTCAAAATATGTATCCCACCCCTTATACTTCAAGTGTATTCTATTAAAACCTGGTTGACAACAGCTTCACCTTTTTTTAGGTTAGAAAACCTAAGAGTAGTTTTTATAATTTCACTGCTGTTTCTAGTACCGATCACATTTCAGAAGAAAGACTGGTAAACTGTATTAGTTCACACATATTTGCTGTACCTCCTTGGAGAATTATATTCCCCTACCCCATTGACATGAGGCTTGGCAATGTAAACCACTCTGGTCAATAAAATATGAGACATTTTAAGATCCAGAAAATGGATTGTTATGTTTTCATTTTATTCCCTATGACCATGGAAGCACGTGTTAGAATCTCTGTTAGACGGGATCCCATCTGCGGACCCACTATGGACATGCTAAATGAAGGAGAAAGGACATTATTGTTTTAAGATGTTTTGGTTGTTAGAGCAGCATAACCTCATTTCATGATTCTCAAAGTGGACCAGCAGCATTAGCACCACCTGGAAACTTGTTCAAAATTAAAAGTCTTGGGCCCCACCTCAGACTTACTGAATCAGAAACTTCAGAGACTGGGCTCACTAATCTGTGTTTTCACAAGCCCTCCAGGGAATTCTGGTGCATGGTAAAGTTTGAGAAAGACTAAATTAGCTTGTTTTTATACTGGCAGAGGCTCAGTTAGTAATCCAACTTTCCAATTACTATGAACAGTTTTGTTTCAGAATTCTATTGTACTTAGTATTTCTAATAAGTAGGCTAGTGACTAAGATTTGAAAACTTTTATACATATCTAATACCTATATTGAGATTTCATACTTCAGCACATGCTTTTATAATTCAAGGTAAGTCACCCTAGGCCAATACCAGATAAAATTCTGATTATCTTACTAGCATCCTGGTAATTCTCTATTTAATATTACCAAATGGAACCAGGAACCAAAGATTTTAGTAATTTAAATTATAATATTCCTACCTTTCTGCCAATTCTTCAATGAAGACTGTTACTGAATTGTTCTCATTTCCAACTTCCTGGATATGAGCATTATAATATCTTCCATCTGACTCCAAGCAAACCTGAAAAGAGAATACATCTAGTCTCAAGGCCAGTGACAGATATGGCTACTGCCAAACAAAAGACCACTTTTTTCCAAATGGAGTTCAGTGTCTACTTTTTAAAGTTATTCATCTCAACACTGCCAGTCTGGATGCATGGAGGTAGCACATACTGAAAGAACCTTACATCTAATCACCAAATTTGTAATGAAAATGTAACACAAACATTAAAAAAAAACATTTTTTTAGGCTGGGCGTGGTAGCTCATGCCTATAATCCCAACACTGGGAGGCCAAGGTGAGGGGATCACTTGAGGCCAGAAATGAGACCAGCCTGGGCAACACAGTGAGACCCTGTCTCTATAAGAGAAAATAAAAATTAAAGAAATTAGACAGGCATGATGGTACGTGCCTGTAGATCCCGCCACTAGACAGGCTGTGGAAGAAGGATCATTTGAGCCCAGGAATTCATGAGCCATGAGCATCCCACTATATTCCAGCCGAGGGAACTGAGCTAGACCCTATCTCTTTAGAAAAATAAACAAACAAAGCAAAAAAAAAAGTTTCTAGTACTTTGTAAGTCTTGCTCAACTCATATTATGACTGCAAGCATATTCTTAAACAAATTACTGATTCTTGAAGAAGGAACTAACCTGACACTTGTCTCCCAAATAGTACTGTCTCCCAGCATACTCCATGTAATCAGATTTTTGAAGTTCTATTAAAAGAAAATGAAGATTCAAGCTCAACTTTACTGGTTCCTTTCCTATATCATTTAATTTCTCATTTACTTTTACGATAGTGCCTTTGACAGCACTACCATTATAAGTGAAAATAGGGTTAAAGCTCCAAAGGGCCAGTCTATCATTCTTGACGGGTTATTTCTGCAGCCAATTTAAAGAGACCTTCCAGAAAAATTTTGTGCTTTAAAAAATAAATAGGTGGAAATTGGGAGTTTGTAACCTGAGACAGTCAAACACTAAAGAGGTACAATTGAAAGTAACACTATTCAGCTTCTTCAAATCAACCATTTTTTTTTTTTAAAAAAAAAAAACAACTTACTGTGTTTCCCAAGGTCTTAACCTCATTCTAGATTGTCTCTATAAGAGACATTAGCTAGGTTTTTCAGGGTTCAAGGAGTTGAATGTGAAATATTAAAGGCTTATCTTGAAGGCAAAACTTTAAGGCCTAGGTTGATCACTTTAGATATCTTATAAGGAGAAAAACAATGACCTATTTCATGGATTCGTAAATTTTTCCTGCAAAGAGCAAGAAAGTAAGTATTTTCAGTTTCTTAGGCCATAACTACTACTCAGAACTACTCAAACTCTGCTGTAAAATTTTATGAACACTGAAATTTGAATTATATAATTTTCATGTGTCACAATGTTATTCTTTTAATTTTTTCTGCCGTTTAAGAATTAAAGACCATTCTTAGCTCATGGACCACACAAAAACAGTTGGTGAGTTAGGCTGGCCCACAGCCCTAACCTACTGATTTATCAAAGAAGGTGGTCGTAACACATGAAATTTAAGATGAGCCTGTTTTCAGTCATTAAAAGTTTCATAAGGCTATCTAAAAATTATCTCGACATAGTCTTTGCAAAGTTGAAGTCCCAGGCAAACATCAGACTCTAAAAGATCCCTGTCACTTCTAAAGCTGTGTTCCGTCCTTTGGATTTAAATCATATATGGAGTAAGATAAAAAGTACCAAGCTGATTTTGTAACAGTATTTAAGAGATGTTCAACATAATTTGCAAAATTAGTCTCCTGGATTCAAAAGTATCCTGTTGATATTTCATTACCTTTTCTGCTGTCCAACCAAACATCAAACTCTACATTACGATAGATTTCTGGATCCAGGGCTTTCAGCACCTTATAGGGGAAGGGCATCTTTGATGGATTTTCTGGAGACTAAAACAAAAATAATCATGCTACAAACTGACAATCCTTAGTCTTCTTTCTATGAAGAGGGAAGAATTAAGGTTCTTTCTTCTTAAAAAAAGAAGTACATGTTGTTCTTTATTAAAACAAGAAATAAATTGCATGATAAATTTTGCCACATATTTTAAAAATCAGGAGATTATAGTAGTAATATGCAAGTAACATTCAAGGTTTTAGATGGCAGAAGGGAAATAATGGCTAAAGCAGGAAGCAACTCAGGACACATCCCATATAAACCAATGCATCACAAACCAGGATTAAAAAATCAAAGCTCTTCAGGAAGTGTCATCATGATATACACATGGAGGTACAAGTATTTCTGTACTCCAAAATCCCCTGGAACTATCTGAAGTTTAATTCATTTTGTCAAATCCTGTTAAAATTTCCAAAGAAACTACCACTTTTCTTCTGCTTTCCTAGAATTTCACTATATCAATACTATTCCAAAATTACAAGCACCTCAGGTATACACAGAGATTGCTATAATAGTATTTGCCTTGTTTAGCTAGCCTCAAACCGAAGGCCTATTTTAGTCCCATAGGGGTGGTAAAATTTCTTCTGTTTCTCCAACTTTAAACCATGATTATCACCTAGTTTGAACAAAATAAAGATAGGCATTGAATTTCTTCATGAAAAAATCCTTAGCATCCGAAGACTGATTACAAATTAAATATTGGCTTTGTAATATTTAGCTTAAAAGCATATTGCTCCTGAAATTTCTAAAGTGTTCGGTTTCTTCTGAGAAATCTAAAATTCCATAAGAATAAGAATTCAAATAACATTAAGCACACATATAAGTTTAAAGATAGGTGACACTTTCACAAAAGAAAATGACCAACTCTTCCCTCAACCCATATAACTAGAATATACTATCTGACTTTAACTAGTTTAAGTCATGATGCTGCAAGCCAAGAGAATGAAAATTCTTTGCCTTAGAAAATATCAAACCTTGGTTTCTTCTGTTCCTTTATTGTAGCCCTCTGGTATATTTTCAGCATTGCGGCAGGCACCCCACTCTTCCATCCTAATTCAAAAGATGCAGAGCAAAGAGCTTTTTATAAATGTAGTAGTTTCTTAAGCCTAACAACTACACCACCACCTAGTGGTAAATTAACTCAGTTCTAAAAATGAGGCCAATGCTTTCTCATCCCAACATTTGCATTTATGGTTCCTTTTTATAAGTATGTGCTACAATATATTTAGCAGATTACCTCCTATATTTTACAACTCCTGTGAGGACACACTCGTAAGGTTATCCCTATGATACCTGCCTCATCAATTTTACTGGTCTCTCCTCTGCTGCCTATAAGAAAGCAAGCAGCCATGTTCACCACTGCAATGTAGCAAGGAGCTGAGGGTTACTTCTGGCCAACTGACAGCAAAAACTTGAAGCTCTCAGTCCTATAGCTCAAAGGAACTGAATGCTGCCAGGTACCATGAATGGGGAAGTGGATCCTTCCTCAGTCAAAGCTCCAGAGAAGAACTCAGTCCTGATTAACATCCTCATTAGTCTTATGAGACACTCAGCAGAAGATCCAGCTGAGCCATGATCATATTCCTAATCCACATAAACTGTGAGAAAAGTGTGCTGTTTTAAGCTGCCAAGTTTGTAGTTGCAGTGTTACACAGCAATAGATAACTAATACACCTTGACTTCTTACTAATGTAGTTTCTGTAAGCCTAAAGTCCTTAAGACAAGTAATCAGAAGTAATCAGTGAAGAACGAAGCAATCTTTATCCTAATACCTGGTTGCCACTCCTGGCAGTCCCAAATAAGCTTTAAAAACCCTCCCCACACCCCTCACACACACATACACAAAAAAAAAAAAAAAAAAAAAAAAATTTAAAACACTTGGAAGCTTTAAACATCCAAGAAATAGAAATGCAAGACAAAAATCACAAGGTGACACTTACCTAGCACCAAACCTATCTGAATTTGCAGGCAGAACTAGGAATCAGAAGAAATATAAGACATCTACTTTATTATCTCAAACCCAAAGTGTTCAACTAGAGCTGCTGAATAGTTGTTTCCTCAGAGGCACACAATGTGTACTCATAGTGCATACCAAAGGCAGATACGCAAACACTCCTAAAACTTAGACTGAGAGATTTTCTACTAGCTGAATGTGTCAAGTAACCAATGAACCTCAGTTGTTATCTAGAAAATGATGGTGCTACTTTAGAATCTGTATTTTCTCAAAGTATGGTCACAGCCTACCTACATCAGAATGCTTAGACACACTTGCCTAAAAAAGATTCCTGGTCCCATTCTGACCTCAAATTTTGTGACAGTAGGCCCAGGAATCTGTCTTTCTGACAAACACTTTAATTCTTATACAATTAAAGTTTGAGAACCATGTAATTAGATAGTTCTGAAGTTTCTTCTAGCAATACAAAACGACTTGAACAAAACCCCCAAAGTCTGGGCATCTCACAATACATATGTTTTGGCAAAACTGTCCCCCCATCAAAAATATATATCCTTAATATATGTGTATGTGTGAATATGCAATCTAACTCACAAGTTTGCCAGGCCCCTTCTACTTTCAAATAATGATGCACAGAAGTTTGAAATATAATTATAATGATATCCCTTTCCCTTTATTACCTATTCTGATTTGAACTCTTGTAGACAGTATGGGCATCCTCACTCCCAGTCACAGCATTATTTCTGTTTTTCTTAGAACCACTTCGAAACAATTTAATCGCAGTTTTCAACTCTTCTTCATCCACAACAAATACATCTTTATACAGAATTTCGTACAATACAGCTGAAGGGAAAATGGCCAAAATTCCAATTGTCAAAATAAGATTTATATTAACTACATGAAAACAGTCATAACCCTATGTGCAACTTTAATAGGTACCAACAAGTCTTTAAAGGGGCTATTCATGGTGGATCCCTGAAATTAAAGAGTGACAAGTCATCTAAAATTACACCCAAAATTTATAAAGCCTTCACATACCCTGACAAACAGCTGCACTTGACTGAAATTGTTTTGAGTACACAGAATCATAGTGACCACTACTTGAATAGCAGAGTAGAATCTAAAGAAAAACACACAGAATAATTAAGTGAATGTTATACATCTTAAAACAATGAAATTAAGATGGTAAATAACTTGAAACTGAGTCAGTAGGCAGTGATTGATAACTGAATTTATTTTTTTAAAAGTGATTTTTTAATATCTAAATATAAGGAAATGTAACCCGTATCTCAGAGATTTTCTTGGCAGTTGACTTTTAAATGCCAAAATTAAAATCACTACTAAGGTTACACTGTGAGCCTCAATCACATTATTTTAATATACCAAAAAAGTCCTGATTTACAAATTTGCAAAATAAAAAAACGAACACTTAGAAATTGAGTTACTGAACATAACAGAAAGACTAACAGATGCCAAAAGACTCAGCTAACTTCTAAGAATGACTGGAGAAATTAGGTCAAATACTCAATTACTCTAAACTCAGACTAAGGGAGGAAAGGGATTTTATTCAATTATTTTAAAAGTTATCCATTTAACTTCATAGAAATATATCAATACACCATATAGCATCAGTACTGCTAGAGAGACTTCCTCAATGACAAAAATGAAAGTTTAAGGTCTTAGATGATTCTTGAATTCCTAGGTTTTTTTTCTTCCCAAAACAATTCAAAGGCCATGCTTGTTAAGCAAAATTTGTTCAGTCAAAATGTCGCATGTGATGAAATTTGTTTATGTAACTGTTCCAAAGTTTTCTGAGTCTTTGTATAAAAAAAAAAAAAAAAAAAAAAAAAAAAATCTGTCTTAGCCAGGTTGGGTGGCGTGTGCCAGTAGTCTCAACTACTAAGGCAGGAGAGTCACATGATCCCAGGAATTTGAAACTGTAGTGTGCTATGACCTCACCTGTGAATAGCCACCACACTCTAGCCTAGGCAACAGAGTGAGATCCCTATCTCTTAATAAAAAAACAAAAATTCTGTTTTATATAAGGGATATGATCTCTAGTAATTAAGGTTCTTCCATTTTGAAGGTATCACAAACTGAGTTACTCAAGACGATTCTGCAATCTGTGAAAAGATGCTGCCACCAAGCCTCCTTAGCAGAAACAATTATCCTAAGCATTCTTTTTTTTTCTATCTTCCTACTCTTCCCTAGGCTAACTTCTCCCAAAGATCAAGTTATTTAATCCCAGTTCTATTATTCTTCACTTGTCTTTTTGGAAATCACACTTATTAACTCTAAGAAATGTTAATAACTGGAGGCAGTTGTGGTAGGAGAAAGTTACAACTTAAGTTGTAAGTTGTTAAGAAGTAAAGGAATCCAGTTAACCAGAACTGATGAATAAGCAGTTCTTATAGAAAGAAAACAGACAACCATATAATTTCTCTATTCAGGTGACAAGAAGTTCCATTTTGACTGGAAGAGGCAAAACAAGGCATGATGGCTTTTATGTTTCTGGTGGTATTCCAATGTGAAATAATAATTCTCTCATACATACTTGTGGGTGGTTTGTTTGGGAGTGGGCAGGTGGGATATAATTAATGACAGTAAACTAGTGAAAAAATGGGGTATATCTATATTACTGAGAAGGACATTTAAAAAGAACAAGTAACAGTGTTAAATATGAGTCCATCTACATGTAAAAGACAAACACAAAGAGAATGATACAGAAAGATAATCACCAATATTTTAATAGTTTGCTACTTTGAAGTGCATGAAAACCAATACTTGTTACTTTGAAGTGCATAAGACTGAAGAAGATGAATGGGGACTTTCTTAGTCTACATTTCCAGACTTGCTTTTTATTTTGTTTTTAATATAAGTATGTACTTCTATCTAGATAAAGTGAGCTGAGTGAAGAGGGCTCCATTTCAGTAGCATTCATTTTAATACTGAATACACTTAAGAAATTGAAGATAACTATGTAGAATGCAGAGTTAAGTCAACAGAAGGTGAAAGATACCAAAGTGAATATTAGGCATTTATTTCCATGAAAGTTTGTTCTAAAATATTTTAGAAGGCTCATTAATAATGTTCACTACCTATAATAAAGTCATTTTTTTTAATTTATTTATTTATTTTTGAGATGGAGTCGCTCTGTCACTCAGGTTGGAGTGCAGTGGTACAATCTCAGCTCACTGCAATTTCTGCCTCCCGGACTCAAGCGATTCTCCAGCCTCAGCCTTCCGAGGACCTGGGATTACAGGCATGTGCCTCACATCCGGTTAGTTTCTGTATTTTTAGTAGAGACAGGGTTTCACCATATTGGCTGGGTTGGTCTCAAACTCCTGATCTCAAGTGATTCGCCCGCTTATGCCAGGATTACAGGCGTGAGCCACCACACCCGGCCTCATTTATAAAAACTCAATCCTGATGCCCATCTTAAGAATGTAAACTGAGATAAAGCAGCAAAGATTTAGGCAAAGCAAAGTATCACAAAATAAAAGCACTGGCTTTTCCATACTTACATTTCAATACAAGCCCCCCCCCCCATTTATAAATTCCCAAATCAGACATATATAGGCATTATCCTATATATGCAATTACCCAAGTGCTGGTAAGTTTTAGCTCTGTATACACATATGGATATTTGTTGGTTGTACACACTTAAAAGGTCTGACAGTTTTGTATTCTCATGGTTCCAAATAGGTAATGTTCCCCTAGATTAGCTAAATAGTTTCTCTGTAAGATATACAAGACATTTAAAAGTGGAATTGTATAATTGTAGGAACTAAGTGGGAGATATATGGATGTTCACTACATGAGTCTTTAAACTCTCTGTATGAAAAATTTCAGAATACAATGTTGGGCGAAAAAAACTGATCTGAAAGTTTAAAGATCCCTGGTAAAGATTCAAATTTCATCTCAAGTAATTATGTGTACAACTGCTTAGATACAAAAGCTAACACTCCTCTTCTTCAAACAATTCAGATTATGTCACACCTTCGCCTAAAAACTTTCCATTAGTGTTTAGGGTCAAGTGTGCTGGTGTCTGAAATTTAAACTACATCAAAAAAGAAAAGTGAACTGTTGAATGGATTGGGGAATAAATATGTGATAATACTAAGATGTTAACAGCAGACTCTAGGTGTTGGGTAGGTATATGGATGCCCGCTGTAAAATTCTTTTAACTTTTCTGTATGTTTGAACATAAAATATTGGGAAAAGTTTTAATTGACTCTTCTGTACAATGAAAAAACAATTTATTTGGCATGGCCTGCTCTACCTCCTACTATGTAACTCTGGCCTATCTTTCCAGCATCACACTCCTCACACCCAACTACTTAAGTCCCAAAAGGTCTCTTACTTCCATGCCCCTGTATATAGTGTTTCCTCTGAATAGACTGCTCTTCATATTTGATGGACTCTTTTATACTCCACTGAAATGTCACTACCATTATGAAGCTTTCTCAACTCCCTCAAACAGAAAGAAGGATTTCTTCCTTTATGCTTTTAGTACATTTTTTTTAAATTATAAAACTTAATACTTTGTTGTAATTAAACCTTTCCAGGTCTGTCTTCATTGCCTGTTAAGCTCTTAGAGGGCAAAGATTTCACTGTATTCATTTTGGTGTCCCCAAAGCTCAGAAAAGAGATAATTAATGTACCTCATTTATACTTGTCCTCTAAGTTATCTCCCACTCTGTCTTTTCTATTCCTAATGCTACTTCTCCTTAGCTCAGTTATTCCCCCTCAATTATCGTAACAGCATCCTAACAGTTCTCCTGAAGTCGTCTTGTCTTGTTATCATTAAAATGTTGTCTAAATTGTGTCCCATGTTGTGAAATAAGAGTTTAAAAAACTCAAACATTGTGTAGCCTATATTTCACTAATCAAATAATCAGGATAAAGGACTTTTCTTTTATAAACTTTTTGGAGGAGAAGCTGTATGGTGAAAAACAATTTGTCTGCTGAGTATTTTCAACCAAGTACTTTACCAGACAGTAGACACTGTCACTTCCCTCAAGAAACTTTCGGATAATGAAGGAAATACATATAAAAACAAATACAATGTAATATATACTACAATTACTTGGGAGCTGCTAGGGGAGCACAAAGGGAGAAAATGACTCGAGGGGCATTGGGAAAGTTACAAATAAAAAGACATAAAGTATGAAAGGCAGAATATCTGCAAGCACAGCATAAGGATGGAAGACAATGAAGCTGGTTTGGGACCTTTCAGGATGCTGAATGCCTAACTTGGAAGTTTGAACCCGATCCTTTTTAGTCATTGGGGAGCCAATTAGGGTTTTTGGGTGGCTTTTTTCCTGTCACAGAGAAGTGACAATCAGATCTGTTTAGAGGGATAATACTGAGAAAAACTGACTAGAGAGGAAAAGGCTAGTGACAGAGAATCTTGTCATTCAGACTATGCTTTTCATTAATTAGGTTAAAAATGATTTCTTAATATCCTAGCAACACAGAAGCATCATTCAACTTCTTTTATATAAGTCAAGATTTACTCATCTTCTTACCTTGTCTTCATAGCCATTATCTGTGACATAAGTTGGAGGTTTTCCAGGAAAGCGATAAAGAATGAAATCCCGACTACATGGGGAAAACAAAGGTAAGTGGCAAGGCATAATTTGGTGTATATATAAGAGATAGTTATACACACAAGTATTTGTGCTTTTAAATTGCCTACCTTATTCATATAAAATAATATAAACATCTGGTTTAATGTTTGGCTTTAAAATAATCCAAAAAGGCTAAATGACATTAATTCAAGGTAGACAGCTAATTATTCCTAAAGTCCTGTGGATTTTCTTTTTTTAACATATCTTAATTTGGGAGGAAGAGGGGTAAACCCAACAATTTATCAATTGTATGTATCTCTGTGAGTTGGGGGATGGTGGTGCTCTTTATTTAAAGCAGGGGTTGGCAATTTTTGGCAAAAGGCTAAATAGGCATTCCAGCTTTTGCAGACCATATGGTTTATTCAACTTTGCTTTTGTAGCATGAAAGCAGCCACAGACAATGCATAAGTGAATGAGCATGACTGTGTTCTAATAAAGCTTTATAGACACTAAAATTTGAATTTTATATTTTTCCATGCCATGAAACATTCTTTCGACTTTTCAACCATTTAAAATATTTTAACACTCTTTCTTAGCTTAGACTTCTTCATTCTATATATCAATGCATCAAATCTTAAATTTCTGCAATCCTGAGAGACTTTGAGATCTTATACATACATGCATGCACACATCCACTCTCAAAGAAAGAGGGTATAACTTACTTATAAATTAGAGAAAGTGCTCTTATTTCCAGCTGGCCAGCACTTTCCTAAACATAAATAGTACATAAAGTTTTAAAAAACATTCTGTAGCTAGGAGGTAGTTTTTTTTCCAAGTTCAACAAATTTTTAGCTGATTAGCACTGTTTTAGATGAAGAATTTGTAGAACACACTATAACCTGTTTTGAGACTTGGAATACTGTGATAGCTACTCACTAACATAAACTTGTCCTGAAAAAAAGGACCTAAAGCCCTACTTAGCCATTAAGTAATAAGGACAGGTAATATGAGAGATTTAAAAAACACAAAAGTGGATTAAAAGGCAGTACAAAAAGGCAGCAGGGATTTAGTAAATGTGTTTTAAGTCCAGAACTATGGAATTAACTTTATCACATAAAAATTATTTCTAAATAAACTATTTATTTATGAATTTTAGTACCACATAAAAAGAAGACAACTACAAATCAGAGGAATTGTCTAATAAAAAAAATGACCTCTTGGTAAAATTCATTACCACCCTCCTCCCCCATTAAAGTGAAAAGGCTTAAGCTTGTCCTGTTTCCAAGTAGTGTATACTCTTTTGCTAGTCTATGGTTGATGGGACTGTTAACACACAATCATCAATGTTCAACACCAAACAATAGGTCAATTGCCAGCCTCTAAACTTATGCAAGAAATATTGGATTCAACACAGCTGACTACTAAAGAAAAAACTTGGTGTCTGGCTAAAATAATACAGCTGAATGAATAAATTTACATTACTATTCCAAATAACTCTGAAAAGATTAAACCCCCATATTTGATCTTACCTTGGGATCTCCCAACCGTTCCAGGTATTTCTCAAAAGATCCCTCCACATACTTCAAAAATAAAACAAACTCGACTTAACCAAATACATAGCATTACTGAAATCTGATTATATTCTGCAATATTATCCTGCAATGGATTTTTTGCTCAGGTCAACAATTATGGTAGTAAGTTTCTACTCTGCACAGCACCTCAAGAAGATTTGCACATACACAAAAGTCATGAGGGAGAAAAGCTAGAGTATAAAAAGTATCTTAGGAATTGGTCCTGGCATATCCACATACCAGTGCATTTCATCAAATGGTATGCTTTTGAGTTTCATTTGAAACACCAATTTAAGTGATAATTTTCATAAATCAAGCAAGACCAGTACTTCTAAGAATTTCAAATTTGAAGACACACATTTACAAAATTAAACTGAGAAACTTTAAATTAGAGAATTTCATTAGTTTCAAAAAAGACCATGGGACAAGGGAACTTTTTAGGGGTGATGGAAACATTCTCTATTTTGATTATAGTGGTAGTTCTATGATTGCATATCATCTACAAAACTAAAAATGTCAAACATCAAATGTTTTTATTGTATGTAAAATATACCTCCATAAAAATGAAATTAAACTCAGGGAATGTAACAGATTTATTTCTAATTCCATGCATTATCACCAGACTTATAAAAAATCATTTATCTATTCTGTAACTATCCTTGCACCCCTCTATAACTGATACACAACCACTTATCTGCTTTCTATCACTATAGATTGCCTTGTATTTTTTCTAGAGTTTTATATAAGGGAAATTAAACAGTATAAACTTTGCAGGGGGTCTGGCTTCTATCACTTAGTATTAAATTGAGATATGAATCTCAATTATTTAGTTTTAAAATTTTACACACATCTTTGTTACTCAAAATGTTGTCCACAAACCAATAGCAAGCATTACTTCAGAGTTTGTTAAAAATGCAGAAATCTCCACTGAACACAGTGGCTCACACTTGTAATCCCAGCGTTTCGGGAGGCCAAAGCAGGGAGATCACTTGAGCCCAGGAGTCTGAGACCAGTCTGGGCAACATGGTGAAACCTCATCTCTACTAAAAACACAAAATACTTAGCCCGGCAAGGTGGCAGGCATCTGCAGTCCCAAGTTACTTGGGAGGCTGAGGTGGGAGGATTGCTTCAGCCTGGGAAGCAGAGGCTGCAGTGAGCCATGATCCTGCCACTGCACTCCAGCCTGGGCAACAGAGTGAGACTTTGTCTCAAGTGGGGAAGAAAAAAACAAATCTTGGGCCCCAACTCAGACCTACTGAATCAAAACCTGCAGTTTAACAAGATCTCCAGGTGATTTCTATGCACAAAAATACTTGAGACGCACTGCTTTACACTATGGTCTTGCATTTGAAGTAATGTCACTAATAATCCTTTTCCCAGGTGTAGAGAGGACTAAACTCAGCTTCAAGGCAACAAGCTTTTAAGTCAAGAAGTCTTCCCATAGTTTTAAAATTCACTGAAACTTGTTGAGAAAATTAAGAGTAAACCTCGAACAGTAGGCAAATACTCATAATAAACAGAAGAAACGAATGCACTAGAAGGGCCAGAAGTGTTTTGGGTTTTTTTGTTAAAGCCACTCAAAAGGAAGCCTCCAATTTTGTTAACAAGAATTCAAATACATGAAGGTGTACAAATATGTCTTCTAAGTTGTACCTAAAGTTAATCATTAGTGGCAGAGCTCTAATTATACAATTTGTCACACGGAAAGACCAGATACTTGGACTCATTTGTTCCATTACAATAAATTTTACAAGATTCCCCAAATTGACTGGCTGAAGATTACTGTACAGAGGATTAAGCAAGAAAATAGAGGGCGTTCCCAATTGCATATCTTTTAAAATATGCATTTCAAAATATTAGCAGAGCCAACCCTTTCATGAAGTATTAATTGTTCAACAAAACTGTATGGATAACATAAAACAGCAATCAAAATGTAACTTTTTAGGGTCTGGAGTTCTTGGTATAGAAGGTAAGTAGTGGGAAAATGTAGATTATTCTTCATTTTTAATTAGAGTCCTAAACAACTTAATTCTAGGAGAGAGTCCAGAAGCACATTAGCTACTGGGAAGGGAGCCAGCTGGGAATTAAATATTTGCTATTGAGGAGACTGCATGATACAGTTTAATTTTGGTAGGTGCTCATAATTATTTTCCCACCTGCTACATACTTTACCAACAGCTCTCCCAGGGTATGTATTCTACTTACAGACTCAAAAGTTTGTTGATTTTCCCTCATATATGAGACACAAGCTTTCCTGATTTCCAGATGATGGACCTGGCTGCAAAATAACTAAAAAGAAGAGAAAGACCAGTCCATTGTCAGTAGTCCTTTAAAAGAGGTACTTCTAAATCAAGACTATGAACTGAACACTTAAGCCCTCCTGATTCTGAATATATGTAGGAAATTGGGAAATTAAATCCTTATCTTATTAAAAGTTTTTTAATATAATCTTCAATGTAATTGGGGAGCGATGGCTGTCATGCCCCATCCCCTTTTCTACTCCGTATGTGCACAGCCTGTAAATATTTTCCTAGGCATTGAAGATAGAGGAAGCAGGCGATGCTTACAAAGGATCAAGATATATTTCAGTTTTCTTTAGCCCCCTTATCTTACCCCTCCTACATTACAAACTGGCATTTAAAAAACAGAAAAGATAGCAAAAGTACAGCAACATATTTAGACTAATCAGCAAAGGCATGCACCAAGATAATAAGAAGCAAGCAGTTTCTCTCCAAGACCTGATAGGCCTGGATGTTTTCACTAGCAAACAGAAAAGGGAATTTTTTTTCTTTTGGCAAAAAACAGGACTGTGCCATGTCTCAAACTCCGACAACTTAGTACAGGGAAGATATATGTTTTCCTTTTACCTGCTCCGAAATAGCCCGAAAGAGGCAAGAGGCATCCTTGGCAGTCAGCTTTCGAAACAGCCCTAAGCTGCCTAAATATTCATCCATTGATGCCTCATTCAAAGACTTCTGGCTGCAGTAGTTTTTCCATCCTTTATGCATTTTGTACAGGGTCGGGGTGAGAGGGAGAGGGAAAAAAGTGTGGTAAGATGGAAAAAGTAGGGTGCAGGGAGGATGGGCAGCAGCGACAAGAGCTTGTTTATGCAGGTATCTGGAAAGCAGCCCAAAGTCTAGGCCTGAGAAGGCAGTTGAATTCAGCGCCGCAGAATCTTGGCACTTCTCAGGAGCAGAAGCAATGGACTTGGCTTGCTCAGGACAAGTCAGGACCCTGTGAAAAGAAGAGGAAAAGCCAATCCTCCTAGGAATAGGGAACTGAACTGAGGAGGAGACATGGGAGGGAGGGAGGGAGAAGGTGCTTAGAGTTACCTCCTTGGGGAAGAGTGGGATTAACTCAATCAGCCTAAGGTTGAGAAAAGTATGCATAAGCAGCTGAGCTTTGGGACTAGAAGGAAACTGACTTTGCAGCTTAACTCAGGGCAACTGCTGCACGAGGCTGAAAAGGGACTACAATAAGGCTCAGGTGTGTAGGATGCAGCCTGGTTCGTTACATTGCTTTAAGATCTCTAGCTGAATTTTCAACTACAGTCTCTGCCCAAATTCCCAGCTCTTTTCATAGTTTCAGGGAAACATGAAGGGACAGAATCTTCATGAACCTAGTTAACCAGTGAGCATTTTCATTAATATCTTTTTAATACACACATGAAAAAGGAGAAGGAACTTCCCTTAATCTATAGTGGCAGAGGGCACAGTTCAAGCTAACTGCCAAAGCAATTGCCTGAATATTTAAGATGTAGGGTTGAAGTAATCTTCTCATTTACTTCTAGGTAATAGTCCCTGCCAGGATCACAAAAACTAAATCTTAGTAGCCATGCTAGGGAACCTTTATACAGTTCTTGATTAATGCCTCCAAAGTATTATATGGCACCAATAAAAAGGAAAAATGCAAAGAAAGTGTATTGCTTTAAAAATGTAAATAATTTAAATGGAAGCAGCATGAAAATATCCACAAACTTTCTAATAGACTACATTTAAAATATTATGGTACAGTATGAGATGAGTTGGACAATGAGAAATGTGTTTCAATATTTTACTAGGGTACTTCTCCAAAAACATTACTCTGGATTATTTGAAAACCAAAGAAAATACTAAGTGCCAAAGGCAGGCCCAATCACTTGTATTATTTGTTTCCATTATCTATACTATCTAGTGTCTTTTATTTTTATTTAAATGCAAAAATCCAATTCCTTTCTTACATTTTTTTTAAGTATTAAAAAATAGGTCAAAAGCTGGCTTTGGAGAAGGCACAACATTAAGCTGCTTCAAAATTTGTTTTTTTGGTTTTTTTTTTTTTTTTTTTTTTTTGGTATCTGTGGATCCAGTTGTAATCATGACTGCCCCTTCTAGGAAAAGCAGCAATATTTTATAATTTAGGAATTAAATACTGCCGGGCGCGGTGGCTCAAGCCTGTAATCCCAGCACTTTGGGAGGCCGAGGCAGGTGGATCACGAGGTCAAGAGATTGAGACCATCCTGGTCAACATGGTGAAACCCCATCTCTACTAAAAATATAAAACATTAGCTGGGCATGGTGGTGCGTGCCTGTAATCCCAGCTACTCAGGAGGTTGAGGCAGGACAATTGCTTGAACCCAGGAGGCGGAAGTTCAGGTGAGCGGAGATCACGCCATTGCACTCCAGCCTGGGTAACAAGAACAAGAGTGAAACTCCGTCTCAAAAAAAAAAAAAAGAAAAAGGAATTAAATAATGGTTGACATAGCAAAAAAGGAATAAATCTTGACTTCCTTAGCCAATTTGAAATTACCATAACTAATTTCTTTTTTTTTTTTTTTTTTAAGAAAAAGGTCTCATTCTGTCACCCAGGCTGAAGTACAAGTGCAGTGGTGTGAACACAGCTGACTGCAGCCTCAACCTCTTCAGATCAAACAATCCTCCCTTCTCAGCCTCCCAAGTAGCTAGGACCAGAGGTGCACAGCACTACACCCGGATAATTTTTGTATTTTCTGTAAAGACGGGGTCTTGCCACATTGTCCAGCTGGTCTCAAATTCCTGAGTTAAAGCTATCCTCCCATCTTAGCTTCCCAAAGTGCTGGAATTACAGGAATGAGCCACCATGTCCAGCCACTAATTTCTTTTTAAAAAAACCTTGGAAAAGTGATGCCTTTCACAAAAGTTCTGAAACATACTGTTTGGGAGGAGGGATTGCCATCTTTCATTACACCCACTAATTCACTGAGAAAAACTAATTAAAGGTTATAATTTAAAAGTGTTTGTTTCCAGTATATTGTACCTGTAAAGAAAAACACAAATGCTTCACATCTACTGCTTTTTAAATGAAAAATAAGTATGGTATAAAAAACAATGCAATCTAAATGCTTCATTTTGAGGAAGGGAATGGGGGAAGGGAAAATCAGGAGAGGGAAGGAGAGAATCAGAAAAGTAATAGGAGAAAACAAAAAAAAAAAATGGGCAAGAAGACAAAAAGAGATAGAGCAAAAGAAAAGTAATGCACAGGGAAGCACACAGAAGTAGACCCACACAAATATGGTCAATTGATTTTTGACAAAGGTATAAGATCATTTCAATAGAGAAAAGATAGCATTTTAATCAAATGGTGCCAGAACAATTGACCATCCACATGCAAAAAAAGATCCTCAAGCTATACCTCACACCATGTACTATAATTAACTCAAAGGGGAACACAGATATAAATGTAAAACAAAACTTCAATATTTTTAAAAAGAAAACATAGGAGAAATCTTTAAGATCCAAAGTCGGGCAATGAGCTCTCTGATACATCATAAAAGAAAGAAAATTGACTAACTGGATTTTATCAAAATTAAAAACTTTTGCCCTGCAAATGACATTGTTAGAAGAATGAAAATACAAGCCACAGACTGGGAGAAGATATTTTTACATCACATATCTAACCAGAAAAACTTTGTAACAAAATGTATAAAGAACTCTGAAAAGATAACAATTAAAAAAATCTGATTTCTTAGATTGACAAAATATTTGAATACACATTTCACTAAAGATATAACAATGGCTAATGAGCACAGAAAAGATATTCAAAATCACTGATCTCTAGGAAAATAAAAATTAGAACCACAATAAGACATCATTACAAACCCACCAGAATAGCTATAATAAATAATACAGACAATAACTAGCATTAGCAAGGACTGGAGAAACTGGTCCTAAGATGCTGGATGCAAAAATTGTATGATTCCAAAAGTAATACGATTCCATTTACTGAAATATGCCAAAAGGGTAAATCTAGATACAGAAAGCAGATTAGTGGCTGCCCAGGGCTGGAGTGGGACTAGCCATTAACTACATATAAACACAAAGAATCTCTTTGGAGTAATAAAAATCTTCTAAAACCATTTTGTGGTGATATGTGCATAATTCCGTATATTCACTAAAAATTAAATTGTACTGTTAAAACTGGTAAATTTAACAGCTTTCAGATATGTCACATACCATATAATTCTCCCACTTAAAGTATACAATTGGATTTTTTTTGTATATTCAGAGCTGTGTATCCTGAACCATACATAATCAACTTTAGAACATTCTCTTTACTCCCAAATTGACATCCTGCATCCTGTAGCTGTCAACTTGTAATCCCTCTATCTCCACCAACCCCAGACAACTACTAATCTACTTCCTGAATCTGGAGATTTCCCTATTCTGAACATTTCAAATAAATGGGATCTTAAAATATGTGGTCTCGTGTGACTCATTTCTTTTACTTAGCATAAGGTTTTCAAAGTCCACTCATGTTGTAGCATGGTGCATCACTACATATTTCAATCCACTGTATAAACCAAAGTTTGTTTATCCATTCATTAGTTGATAGAAATTTGGGTTGTTTCCACTGTTGGGCTATTATAAATAATATTCCTATAAATATTCACATACAAGTTTTTGTTTGGACTTATGTTTTCAATTTTCTTAGGTATATAACTAGGAGTGGAGTTACTAGATCATACGATAACTCTAGGTTTAACCATGTGAGAAGCTGTCAAACTGTTTCTCACAGCAACTGCACCATTTTACATTCTTACCAATAGTGTATGAGGGTTCCATTTTCTCTATACCTTATCAATACTTGTTATTTTCTATCTTCTGATTACAGTCATCCTAGTGTGTGTGAAGTGGTAGCTCACTGTGGTTTTGATTTTCATTACCCCAGTGGCTAACGATATTAAGCATCTTTTCATCTGCTTATTGTCCATTTGCATATCTTTAATGGGATACCACGACATACATCTTAGAATAACTAAAATAATTTTCTTTAACCTGATAATACCAAGTGTTGAAAAGGATGCAGAACAACTGGAACTATCATATGTTGCTAGTGGGAATGTAAAGTAGTGCAACCACTGTGGAAAATAGTTTAGCAGTTTCTTACAAAATTAAACAGAATTACCATATGATCAAGCAATCCACTTCTAGATATCCACACAAGAGAAATGGTAACACAAAAACCTCTATGTGAGTGTTTATAGTAGCTTTATCATAAGCTCTCAAAACTGGAAACAATCTAAACATTCTTCAGCTGGACAAAAACTGTGGTACATTCAAATAATAGAACATTTCCCAGGAATGGAATATAAAAAAATATTGATACATAAAAGAACATGTATCTCAAATGTGTCTGAGAAGTGAAAAACGACAGGTTCAAAAGGCCACACACTGTATGCCTGCATTTATATGACATATTGAAAAAGGCCAAACCATAGGAAGGGAAAACAGATTAGTTTTTGCCGTTAGTTAGGGCTGAAGAGAAGGGTTGACTACAAAAAGGAAGGATAAATGGAGGCAGTGGAATTGTTCTGTACCTCAACTGTGGCAATGGTTACATGATTATGCATTTGTCAAAATTATAGAACTATATAAGAAAACAGGCTAATTTTACTGTAAATTTAACAGTAAATAAAACGAAAAGGAGAAGAAATATAACAGAGTTGAGGAGCTCAAAGAATAGTCAACAAGATTGGAAAGAAAAAAAATAAGAAAATTAGATTATCACTCTTGGAAAGCTAACACCTAACCAACAGGAAGCCCAAAGTGAGATGAAGAAAGCAGAGGGAAAGAAACGAAGATGATGATGACGATGCCGCCAACAATATAAAAAAATTCTAGCACTGTAGAACATGAGTATCCATATTGAGATTGAAAGGGCCCATGACGTAGCCACAACAATGAAAGCAAAAAAGATCATCAGCCCTGTAACAATAAAGT